TATTGATTTTTGTTTTATTCAATTCTGAGATTTTAATGTAGTGTGGGCATTTACTTGTTGAGTTGTGAGGGCCTTTTGACAGTGTACGCACTTGGGGGAGGAATTATTACAGTCGGACAAGGGGTGTTGTTCTCCACAGTTGCTGCAGCGAGGTTTGCTACGACATTGATCAGAACTATGTCTATAACGGAGGCAGTTAAAACATTGACGGATTGGAGGCACATAAGGGCTGACTGGGCATCTTTTCCCATAGATAGTGTTCTGGTATTTTTTGGCTGTCGAAATCAAGCTGTTTGTTTTTAACTTAACAATTCGGTAATTATCATCAGAATTTTTTATTTTACGGGTTAGTCTCCTTATGTTTTTGATAGGTGTATTTGATATTTATTACAGACTTTATTTCTTCTTCTGTCAGGTCCGGATCGACGTCTCTAATTACTCCTGTTTTGTTGATCAAGAATGATGGAATATATATTTTATTTCCTAGAATTTTGTTTTCTATAAATTCATTTGCCGCTAAGGGTATGTTAAATTCTATTTTTATTCTATTGGAACCGACGACTGAGATATTTATGATGTTCTTTTTATACAAGAAGGAGCTGTTATATATCTGTTTTCCTAATGACATTGGATGTAGATTTCCTATTTTCCCTTCGGAGTTTTCGATAAATAGTAANCTTTTTTTACTGAGTTTGAAATTAGTAGTTTTAGGTCCGCTGGGCGTATAGGTTGGGAAGCGCTGTGGGGACTTCCAGCGGCTCCTTTGGCCGCCCCGTCTGCTTTTTCGTTCCCGGCCATCCCTATGTGGCCGCGAACCCATGCCAACACGACCTTCTTCCCAACTGCATCGATCCCTTTTAACTGTTCTTTTATCTTGTTTTTAAGGGGTCCACGGAGGCTCTTCTCCTGAGCTTCTGGACTGCACTGAGCGAATCGGTACAAAACAAAAAGGAGTTGTCGTTTTTATTTTTTATCGTGCTCAGTGCGAGGGATATGGCGTTTAGTTCCGCCGTGTACACGCTTGCGGCAGGAGGGAGCGATAATTGTTTAAATTCCAGGGGGACGTTTTGGGAAGCTTTTCTGTGTCCAGCTGGTTCAGCTCTACGCCCCACGCCGCTAATATTTCTTCGGCTCTTATGGCCAGCGGCCTCGTACGGGTTCTCAGGAGGGCGTATCTTTCTCTGGAGTTAGGTTCGAAAAGGGTCTTATATAAGAAATGGTCCGGCCTTGCCCATTTGCTCGCATAATATTTCAATATTATTTCATCTCTTTTTAGAGCAGGGGGGAGAACCCCTGCTTCAACGCAGATGCTATCGAGCGGGCTTGTCCTGAACGCGCCTGTTACTAATCTTAAGCCTTGCATATAAATAGTGTCTAATTTTTTCAGGCGCGTTCTTCTTGCAGAACCGTAGGCCATACAACCGTAGAATAATTTCTGGCACAGCAGCGTTTTAAAAAGGGTCATCAATACCTCTCTTTCTGCTCCCCATCTGAAATTCGACAGGAATCTCAGGAGGTTGATGATCCGTTTGCACTGGACTTCGATATTCGTGATATGTGGTTGCCATCTTAGTTTCTCGTCGAAAGTCATGCCGAGGAACTTTGAACGGTCCGCGTACACGATGGCTTCGTTCCCCAACCGCAGCCGAGGGGGGTCATGCTCCCTCCTCAGTCTACAGAAGTGTACTGCCTTCGTCTTTCCCGCGGAAAAGGAAAAACCTATCTTCTCGGCATTGGCAACCATTTTGTCGATTGCGGTCTGTACTCTTGTTCCGACTTCTTCCAAATCTATACCATGAGCGTAGATAGCGGCATCGTCGACATAGAGCGAGATCATCATCGGAGGCTCAATACCGTCGACGATACCGTTAACCGCAATCGCAAACAGGGTAACCGACAGTACCGATCCTTGCGGGATCCCATTTTCTTGCTCTCTCCTTTCGGATAGCGTACTTCCCAGCCTAACCCTAAACTTCCGGTTGCTGAGGAAACTCCCTATCAAATCCGGAAGTCTGCCTCTCAGACCAACTCGTGACACTTCCGGAGGATACCATACCTCCATGTCGTATCGTAGGCGCTCTCGAGGTCGAAGAACACAGCCACACCATGTTCCCTGTTCAGGAACGTGTTCTGGACCTCGTCCTCGAGAAGAACCACTTGATCAACGGAAGCATGTCCCCCCCGGAATCCCGCCTGATGACGGGAGTAGAGTCCCCGGGTCTCCAAAATCCATACTAACCTTTTATTTACAATAGACTCGAGGACTTTACCCATGCAGGTAGTCAGCGATATCGGCCGGTAGCTTGAGGGTTGGCTGGGGTCTTTGCCTTCCTTGGCGATCGGTACTACGATGGCTTCTTTCCATTGCTCCGGGTACTTTCCGGCGCACCAAATGTTATTATATAACTCTAAGAGGCGACGCCTAGCCACCTCTGGGAAGTGGCGAAGAATCGCGTTAGGCACGCCGTCAATACCAGGGGCTTTATCTTTTAAACCGTCTAAGGTTTCTTCTAGTTCAGCCATCGTTAATGGTCGGTTGTAATCTTCTTCGTTTTCGCTGGTAAAGTCCAGTGCAAACTTTTCCATTCTGTGCATTACTGCACGGAACTTTGCGGTATATGACCGATCGCTCGAGACATCTTCGTAGTGTTAGGCGAGCGCATCGGCCACCTCCTTTGGTTCCGTTGTGATTCTACCAGTCACTTTTAGTGATGGTATTGTTGGTTTTTTCTTCTTCCCCGCAATCAGTTTTACTTTTTCCCAAATCGGTGGCTATCATTATTTAGCCCTGATACATATTCTTCCATACATTTCTTTTTCTGTTTGGTCAGTAACCTTCATTCTTTTGCTCTTTTTACTTTAAAATCCTCTAAGTTGGCCGACGTTAGACTTCTTTTCAACTTTTTTATCGCCTCTTTCTACTCCTTGTTCGCCGCCTTGCATTCTCCGGTCCACCACGGCACCCCTCTTCTACGTATAGGGGTTCCTCCCGTTTTCACCGTCGAGTGCTCGGCGGCTTGTTTCACATTCTGTGAGGGTGTGGACGTCTCGTTCCACATCCCCACTCATGTTTCGAATATTCAAGGCGCTAGTGAAAGTTTTCCAGTCGGCCTTATGAAGGTTATATCTGACTGTGGGGGGGGGGGCAGAAAACAAACGAATATCAACTTTGTTTCTTGGTAGCAAAGTTCAAGGGTTACAAAAAGGTTGAAAAAGATCAAAATTATATTTTACAACTTGGCAGGAGAAATTGAAATACATAATTTTCGACTGTGATTCTATCCAAATTCACGGTTTCTTTTACAATCATTGGTATGTGGAATGCCTCTTCTTTCAGCCTATGTCAATAAGGTTTCAATTTTATGCCATTAAAAGTGAGAAAAATACGGATGAAATCTACAAAAAAGGCTAAAGCGTTTTATTTTATTTCTCCCGTTCTGATTTAATTAAGAAGGCGACGTTTGTGCAATTACGTGGTTTTTTAGCGTTCAAAAGCCCTGTAAAGTTCGGTACAGACGTTTCAAAGTATCGGCATTTTTGTGATTTTCGAAAAAATCGGAGACAAGGAAGGTAAAAATTTGAGTAAATTTTTTCCCCATAAATTTGTATTCAGGGGTTTTTGATGGTGAAAAAACGAAAATCGGCTTTGTTTCATGTTAGAAAAATATTTTAACCACTTTGCTAAGTCGAAACCCCAACCCAGATTTAATCCACAAAAGGAACCGCCAAACATAGATAACGCCCATACAGGCGTAATCATTTCACCACAAAAACATAAAGATATACAAACAGATCCTCCATAACAATCTCTACCCTAAACACATAATTAACAGAATAATCAACAATTACAACTCAACACTAACACCATCCACTATTACTAATAATACTACATTAAGTCTATCGAATACAAACAAACCAGCATACATTTCTATGCGATTTATCCAAGGTCTGTCACATAAATTAAACACATTTCTCTTGTCCGATAACTTCAAAATAGCTTTCAAAAATTGTCCGGCAACTTACATCGGTCTTACATCCCAATATCTGGACAAGAGAGTAAAGCAACACATCTATGATTGCAAAAAACCTAAGGAAAATCCTACAGCACTCGCTACCCACCATCTTGAACACCAACACAATTTCGACTTCAACAATCCAAAAATATTACACACAGAACAAAAAACATACAAACGTAACATTTTAGAAATGGTTTACATCAACAGAGAAAATGACAGCATCAATTACAGAACAGATACATGTAAACTCAGTCGCAGTTACGCGAGTATCATTGATCAAATTCTATACAGATAACATACCTATATCATCACATTACATTCCACACATCAAATATTTTTCACATAGTCTACTTTCCCAACAATTTAGCTTTCCTTTTCCTATTTATCCCTTTCTATATAATCCTGAAAGGATAATCTGGCCGAACCATTACCAACACATTTTTTCCCTTCGTCGGCTCTTTTCACCTCAAAGAAGCCGACGCCTTATACAAAAATGTCTTTTCTATACCGACTTCCTTCCCCACCCCTTCAAAATCCAACGTATATAAACATAAAACAGCAAAATCTCACTGGCACTCTCAACACGACACGCAAGAATGGCACAATTACACAGAAGACAAACACTTTGAGTGAGTAGAAATACTTTGATTGAATATAAAAAATATATTTTGCATTGTATAAATTCACTTTTCCACATCCAAAATGTAATTGTTATATGTAAACAATGTTTGTAAATCCCAAGCCCTGAAGATGATCTCAATAAAGATCGAAACGTTGGCACGATAAAGAAAATGTTTTTCTGAAACCTACATCACACCAGACCGCATCTCACGATTTCTAAATAAATAAAGAAAAAAAATTAAACAGCATTACTAGGTTAATAAGGTTCAACCGTTCAGGTTTAAACCAGAAAGCTGAAAGAATGAAGAATATTCCTGTTTGATTACAGCCGACCAAAATTTATTGTGTCTTTCTCAATTACAGTTGTCGTTGAAAATTACGACGCGATGGCTCAAGTTGTCAGCGGACCTCTGGGACTTGGAAACACGGCCATACTCCGCTGCAAGGTACCGCAGCATCTGGACGGCATAGTAGCAGTCACAGCTTGGATCATTGACGATTCTTACAACATCTACCCGACCACAGACGGAGGTAATGGACACATTTATAATTCAATTATTTTCAACGGGTTTTTTACCGGCTCGTTTGATTTAATTATCAGCTGGAACTTTCTACAAATGAAAACGGAAAATACACACTTAACGCCGATGAGCTTAGTAGATAGAAGTCAATACATCTTGGGTTATCTCCTTCTCCCAACCCTAATGTAAAAAACATCTCCTATCCAATTCAGATGGACTAGCTCGGACCGTTGTGGGGCAACGTGTTGGTCTTTTTATTACTATCCTCAACTTGATTACTTATTACTGATTCCCTTAAGTGCTTTAACTCCTTTAACGTTTTATTTTTATTGTGGCTAAAAGAATGCTGAATTTTATTATCAATTATATGTGGACTGCTGCAAATTTTATACCAATTTATATGATCAAGGGGGTAGCGACCGTTTTTCGGACGAACTTTTTAAAAACTCCACTTCTACAATGGTTTTTAACTTTAATATTCATTTTTTTTTTCATGAGATGTAGTTTTTCTTTACGCATTAAAATACAAAACTGATAGTATTTCAACAATTTTTGTAGGTCAATTAGCTGTTTAAATCAAGGTTAAGTTCATGTGAAATATTTTTCATTTGTTTCCCAAAACGAGTATTGAGAGTTACAGACCGGGCGTTTTTGGTGGCCCTGAGAACCAGTGTTACAGGTGAAGCCGATGGTCAAATTCCATGTCAATGAACCTGTGCGATGCAGCTGGAGTCGATGGACTTGGTAGCGAGCAAAGGGACTCGTGCAGCAGGCAGCCAATTGGTTGTTGTGAGTGCGAGAGACAATGCTGCGAGTACTCTTGTTGCTGTAGCTAGTGTTCATGGCTTAATCCATTAGTGAGGGAAGACCTCATCGATGAATCTGAAATAAGCAGCTTGAACCCCTCAAGTGGTTCATTGGCTGCAGGGGTGAAGGTGGAATATTGAATACCCCATCAATGAATCTGAAATAAGCAGCTTGAACCCCTCAAGCGGTACATTGGCTGCAGGGGTGAAGGTGGAATATTGACTACTCCATTGCCCTTACTTAGATTAGTTTATAATATTTGTAAAGGGTGATGGAGTATCCAGTAGTCCATCCTATTTGATTGAATGGTATGTAAATAGGAAAGAATGGAAAATGAATGACACTGTACCTAGATTTAAAAACTGCATGTGTTGGGGGCTGAAGTGACCTAGCTGTCGACAGCTCCTGGAGCTTAACTTCAGTGGCCGGATGTATGAGACGAACTCTGACCCCAGACTGCTAAAACTTGAAGTGGGTGATTGTCAGTAAGAAGTCATAAGCTAAATTTGTATGTGGAGTTGAGCTTACACAAATCAGTCATTTTTTCAAAACCAGAGCTACCAACAGTATGACATTTCAGCCCCACATATGACCGATGGGATATTCAATATTCCTCCATCAGCCCTCTCATTAAACACATACTCACGTGTACATATACACATACAGTATACACTATTTTTATTTGCGAGGAAACAAAAAAAATTTTTTTCTCTTAAGAAATAGAACTGGGGACCCGACATTTCACCCACCGCCTTGAGTGCCATCTTTATGTCAAAGCTCATGCCTACTTCCTCCCTGTAAGTTTTTTTTTTTTGGATTTTAATTTAGAACTCAGTACTTTACTATTTTAAACACATCTTATTTATTTTAGAATCATAGTAGATTTACAGATATAATTTAAAAAATCAAATTATCTCAATATATTTGATATCACTTTTTATATCAGTATTTTATACAAAACATAATTTTGTATTAAAAAATCAAGGATTAGGCCAATTTGAAAGAAAATAAAACACTCAGTTCCTATGTCAAACTGTCAAGGAATATTCCTTCAGGACTTTGAAACTATTATAAATAATTCACAGTTCTAACAAATATGAACATATTTGTCTATCCCTAACCATGCTTGTTTTATTTACTATACTAATTCTCTGCTATAAAACATATAATTTTACCCGATAAAATTTCAAAAAAAACAAAAAACACCACATATGCATGAAGTTTGGTATTTACTGGTCATTTTGGTCTGCCTATTCTCACTAGATCAGTTTGATTTCATTAGCTTTCATCAGCTTCAGTCAGTCTGTTGGTGAAAAGACAAAATATGTCTAACAGACCAACCCAGCGATGATAGGCAGACCAAAATGATCTGTAATGACCAAATATCATGCATTTATAAGACCTACATTCAAATTTTTTTTTTTTTTTTTTTTTTTTTTTTTTTTTTTTTTTTTTTGTCTTTACATAAGAGCTTGGCTATTCATCAAAACCGCATCTTTGTAGACTGTTTTTATTATTTGGCTGCTCCATTAATTATGTGGGATTCCCACATAACAAAAACCGTGTTTTATGTTTTTAAGCTTTTGTCGGTCTATTTTTGTTGAGCACAGAAATAAAATTAGTTTGATTGATTAGTCTAACTCCTATTAAAAGTGGGGACTAAAATTCCATTCATCGCAAGTTTTATGACCAAAAAATTTGTTACTCTTGTACAGAACACATTTGGTCATTCACATGTCTCATTCTCACTCACTTATTAGCTAGCAGCTGCCTTTAGAAATCCGGTAAATCAAGACAATAATTTTAATTGGTTACAGTGCAAATTTGCATTGTGTATATATATAACAGAAACCTTTCATTTTTTTTTTTTTGTACTATTATTTTATTTAACATTTTTCCTTTTAATATGTGTGTATTTTTCATTGACTTTCTAGGTGGAAAATATGTTATGCTTTCTTGGAATGGTGATTTGCACATTCTCAATTTAAGCAGAAGTGATACCAAAAGGAAGTACACATGCAGAACTCTGCATCGGCTCTCTGGTCATTCACAACACAGCAATGCCGTAACGCTTCTTGTAAATGGTATGTGTGCAATTGGTGTTTTTTTTTTGTTTTTTTTTTTTGTCTGTATTAATAAAATTCTTTTAGAAATGTCAAGTTCAACTGGTGTTAACCTGATGGTTCCGGCTGATTCAGTTGTAACTACAAGACAGACAAGCGATATAATTCTGCCATGTGTAGCTAATTCGTATCCCCCTCCGAGTTACCAGTATGTCTTAACAATTTTCTTGTCTTTTCAAAGAACTATTATATACTGTTTTATCTTTTAGATGGTTTAAAAATAACATACCGATTGAAATTAATGAAAGGAAATTACTGGTCGGTGGTTCTCTGCTTCTGAGATCCGTCGCTGTGGAAGATAGTGGTCTTTACGTATGTGTTGCCAACAGTTCAACAAGCAGTGTTAAAGTACAAGTGACACTTGCAATTCCAAAGACGCTCATGGTTCACATAAATCCTCAAAACCTTCAAGTTGACAGTGGATCAAAGGCAGGCTTTGAATGTGTCACAAGTGCAACTCAAGTATGTTTATAGCTGACAGTAGTTTAATAGCATGTCTTATTTGTTTTTGCATTGTTGTTGGTCAACAAGAAAGCTATGCAACCAATTACTAATCAAATTTGATAAAGTTAAAGGCTTTAACTATTTACAGGGTGTCAATTACTAGTGAGGGGACCGCGGTAGCCGAGTGGTTAGCATGAGAGACTCTCACGCCGCGGTCGTGGGTTCGATTCCCACCGTCGCCTCTGGCCCTTTTTTCCCGATAACCCCCAATTTGAACACAGAAGAATTCGTACTATGGCTAATATGCAAGATCATAAGGCCAATAAAAAAAATAAAAAAATTACTAGTGTTTTCTCAAAACTTACTTAATGCAAAACTTTTATTTTATTTAACCAAGAAAAAATTGAAAACTGATTTTGTTAGCATACATTAAAAACAAATTTTATTCTGATTTAAGAAATTGTAAAAGAAATTAATAATAATAACAGGAATAAATATAAATAAACAAGAAAATAATAAATTTGATAACTCTAAATTTTAAAAGTTTTAAAACAGGAGTTTTTTCTTTGTATAAACCAATGCCAGGTCTGCCTCTCCAAGCTCCAAATACTATCCTTGTGAGTAAAACGTACCCGCTTTCTCCATGAACTGATAACGAATGATTCCAAATCATAGCACGAATTCAGGCCTTATGAACTATGTTACATTTAAGTGAGGCCTGAAATTGAACTTTGTGCCTCCAGAAAATATGTGTGACCAAAGCTACTTCACACCATCACAGAAAATGATGCAAGATAAATATCAAGAACGAAGAAAGAGCACACTTCTGGACTTTTTTAGATTGACGAGGAGACAACAGTTTTGGGTCAACAAAATCTTAGGCCTCATCTTGTAAAACCCACAGACATACACAATCCCTTCACACAGTGTTTGAGCATGCTTGACATGTACATCACTCAAACAGCGAGGAACAGACAAAACCTGCTTTAGATGGATAGAATCAATGCTAAAAACCAGGAAAGTGCAGGCCTCCATGTTCCACGAAAAAGTAGAAGCAGTGGTGGCAAGGAGGAATACCCTCGCCTCTGCTGTGGAATGTGGTAATGGACGACCTCATATGCGAACTAAATGAAAGTGGAATTTACACCCAAGGCTATGCAGATGACATTGTCATACTAGTCAGGGGAAAATTCAACTCAACATTAAAAGAACTCACCCAAAGAGCACTAAACCTGGTGAAACAATGGTGCTTAAAACGGGGACTTAAAATAAACCCCTCAAAAACCACCTTAATTGCTTTCACCAAGAAAAGAAATATAGAAATACAAGGATTACACTTCTATAACGAAATGCTGCTATTAAAAAATAAGGTCAAATATCTAGGAATAATCTTTGATAAGAAATTAACCTGGAATCCTCACCTGCAACATACTATAGCAAAAGGTAAAATATCGCTGATGACCACAAGAAGGACCTTAGGCAAATCTTGGGGGCTAAAACCGAAAATGGCCTATTCACTATACACGGCAGTAATAAGACCCAGAATAACCTATGGATCACTAATCTGGTTGAACAAAGCTCAACAAAAAGTAGCTACCTGAACATTAGGCAGCATACAAAAACTAGCAAACCTATGTATCACAGGGGCAATGAGAACAACCCCTACAAACGCATTAGAAACTTTACTAAACCTACCTCCACTGGAAATATTCATACAAGGAGAGGCTAGGAAAAGCTCACTTAGGCTCCAGAAACAATTAAATTGGAAAGGAACTAAACAATTCAGGCATACAACCATAATCAACAAAATCAGACACCCATTATTAGAAATGGGGACTGACTACATATCCCGGAAACAATCTTCACAACTTCCTATAAAGTCTCAACGGACTATAAAGGACAGGAAGAACACAGGAGAGCACAAGCAGATAAAATGATATGGTACACAGATGGCTCCAAAACAAATGAAGGAACCGGATCAGGCGTTTTTTGTACAAGCTCAAAACATGAGCAATCAAACTCATTAGGGAAGTACACTTCGGTCTTTCAAGCGGAAATACATGCCACAATGCTTCTGCCCTGAAAATCTTAAAAGAGGTTACACTGACAAAAAAAATCCTCATAAGATCAGACAGCCAAGCAGCCATTAAAGCATTAGCATGCAAAAGAATCACATCAAAATTAGTCAGTGAATGCATCCAAAATCTCCAAAACCTGGAAAACACAACAACTTGGTGATATCTTGGGTGCCAGGGCACAGGGGAATTTTGGGTAGCGAGAAAGCAGACAGACTGGCCAGAGGAGGATCTGCAAGACCATATATAGGCCCCGAACCTATTCTTGGGATAACAAAAACAAATATAGAATCCTCCATCGCAGAATGGATCCAAGCAAAACAAAAGGAGAAGTGGATAAACTCTAGCGGTGCTAGGCATAGTAAACTTATGATGAAACATCTCTCACCGAGACTGGCAAAAACACTGCTGCAATTGGAGAGGGCCAAACTCAGAGGAGTGGTAGGATTACTAACCAGTCACTGGCATCTGAGAAAACATCTACACAACTTGGGTAGATACAGCGATGATCCCATTTGCAGATTATGTAATGAGGAGGAGGAAACAGCCACTCATATCATCTTCAAATGCGAAGCAACAGCTCAATGGAGGTTTAACCTAACGTACGGAAAAAACTTAGGGAATCAAATTGCAGCAGCAACAGTCAATGACCTGATACTTCTAAGAAGAGGGATTGAGTCTATTGACTGAACTAAGGAACTAGGAAGGTACACTAAGCCAGAAGGCTGCAGTGCCTGGGGAGTACAAACCCCGCTTCCTAGTATCCTTTTCTACCATACCATGCTTGACATGAAAAGAGCGTATTCAACATCTCAAATGCAGTCAACAGCAAGACATTGGTCAAATTAACTATCCAAAGGGGGTCAATTGTGGGTAGAATCCTGTAATTGGTTTCAATTTTGAAAACAAATTCATTTGTCCAGGCCTTTAAGGTTGAGAAATTTTGTCACAATTCAGTTTATTTCATAGTGACAATGGTGATTTAGACTTCATGACTAGGGCTACAATGCCTGAATAAAGAGATCCCCACTTTTAGGGTAAAGACCAGGGATTGACCCCATTCTTGCATGAGAGACTAGAAATGATAGTTCCTAAAAAAAATAGTCTAAAGAAATCATGATTCACAGCACTATTATCAAATAGTGAGTACCCCCATCCACTCTTGTTCCATACGGTCTGGCAAATGGTTAGCACATAGTTTTTTAGAGATAAAATTCCTGTTTATTTAAATTTAAAAAAATTTAATTGTGCGTTTTAAAATTTAAAAAAGAAATTTAATGTATGTTAATTGACATTATTTTCCTGTTTTATTAATAAATTTCTTTTTAAAAAATTAATTAATTTGTATCTTGAAAGGCTGGTATTCAGGTCTGTTCAAATCTTTAGGGCTCTGTTTACTATTAATTAAGATTGAGGGTTGATCCCGTCTTGCTTTGAGCAAGAAACAAGCATAACAAAATTTATTTACAGTTCTTTTGCAATTTCTTAAAAAATTAAACCAATTCTAACCTAACCCAAACTCTGCCTAACCTAACCTGCCCATTACCATAACTAACATAATCTAACCTAACCCATCCCTAATTCTAACCCTAACCCGTCTCTAATAGATGTATTTAATTTTCATTCTATTACAATTTTAAAACAGTTTGTCACCTATTGTATTGTCAGCCCTTTCAGCCATCAAACATTTAAAATATGAATGATCTTACTTCAAAAACACTTGAGTAACTAAACTATTTCTTTTAAGGTTTATTGGTACAAAGATGGAGCAGATAAAGGAGTGTATGGAGCCATTTTGCAAATTCCATCAGTCGGACGAAGTGACCAAGGCGTTTATCAGTGCAGAGTTATACAAAACAATGAACAAAATTATGCTGTTGCAGAACTGAGACTTGGAGGTAAACAACAGCAAAAACGTGTTGCAAGAAAATGTACAAGATTGAATTTTACATTTTTTGCAGCATCCAAGCCTCAATTGATTTATCAATTCTTAGAACATACTTTACAACCAGGCCCACCGGTCTCATTAAAATGTATTGCAACTGGTAATCCAACACCACACATTACTTGGACCCTTGACGGTTATCCTTTGCCTCAAAGTGATAGGTGTGTCCATTTCCAAAATCTCAGTTAAATTTCTATCTACATTATTTTGTTTTATTTATTCACAGGTTTATTATTGGCCAGTATGTTTCCATGACGGGGGATGTCATTAGTCATGTCAATTTAACAAAAGTAGCAGTTGAAGATGGAGGAATGTATTCTTGTAAAGCATCCAATCGAGCAGGAGCTGTTGAACACCATGCACCACTTCGTGTTTATGGTACTGTTTACCCATTTTGTCATCATTTACCTCACTTAAATTATCACTTTCATTTAATTCATCATTTAAAAAATCACTTACCTCATGCAAATTATTTAATTAAAGCCAATGTGATAGTTTTGTTGTGTTCACTTACAACTAGAATTATGATAAGAATACCTTTTTTGAACTTCATGAAATACCTTTCATGAACACTCATAATCATGAAATATTTTAATATTTAATATGTTGCTAATGCTAGTGCCCTTGCCTCATACCATCACGTAAAAGCTGGAGTTTCTCTACCAAAACTACTTGGACTTATGAAACATTTGTCTGAGCACCAAAATTCAACAAATTCAAAAATCCTCAGAAAATTCTAAATGTGCCGTTCTGTAAATACAATGAAACAATTCTCAATGATCTAAATCCTTTATATATGAAAACCTGACCAAATACTGTGATTTCCACAAAACCCTACAAACCCTTAATCCACTCATCTGAAAGCTCTCATCCTCAGAATCTCATTAAACCGTACACAAAGGTTAAAGAAGCCATCGACCAAAGATTTACTGTCCTGTGTCGAGTGACTAAATGCATAATTTAAGCAAATAATGACAATTAATTAAGGTTTTTAGTTGAGATGAAAAAAAAGGTTAATGGCACCAGAGGGATTCGAATCCATAACTTTCGGCTAGATACGCCGCTGCTCTACCACCTGTGCTATCGTGACCTCGATCCACTCGGACATCAACTCCCCATCTCAACCCCACCTTATGAGTTTTCCCTCCTTTTGCCATTTTTCAAATGTCGTGTAATCGGTTTGGATTCTCGACAACAATTGAAATGGCGACAGAGAGCTTTAGTGAAGTGTACTTCATTTTTAATCATTAATTCACTACTTCCGTGGTCCACTTGACCAATTAATACATGACAATTAATTAAGGTTTTTAGTTGAGATGAAAAAAAAGTTAAAGGCACGAGAGGGATTCGAACCCATGACCTTCGGCTAGATTCGCCGCTGCTCTACCACCTGAGCTATCGTGACCTCGATCCACTCGGACATCAACTCCCCATCTCAACCCCACCTTATGAGTTTTCCCTCCTTTTGCCATTTTTCAATCGGCGTATCTAGCCGAAGGTCGTGGGTTCGAATCCCTCTCGTGCCATTAACTTTTTTTCATCTCAACTAAAAACCTTAATTAATTGTCATGTATTAATTGGTCAAGCGGACCACGAAAGTAGTGAATTAAGCAAATAATATTGAGTCCTACCAGTTGATAGCTCCTTCACTCTTTTGTTGTTCATTTCTTTTTCTGTTAACCTCTGTACACTAGTGCTTATTACCCACAGCTTTTAGGTAGTTTTGATATTCAATAAAAAATTAAAAATTAATTGATGTAAATTAATTTTTTTTTTTTTTAGGATCACCTGTAATTCGAAGTATACCCGCACTTTCTGCTATAGCTGGAAAAAGTGTTACGATAAATTGCCCAGTTGGAGGATACCCAATACACACTAAAACATGGGAAAAAGGTAAATTGTTATTCAATTCAAACTTTTAAACTGTTTCAAAACTGCACACCATAAACCTAAATGATTTGCAGATGGCAAACCTCTGACCACTAGTCACAGAGTGAAAGTTTTTAGTAATGGAACCTTAAGTATATCAAATGTACAAACAAAAATCGATCAAGGTTCATACAAATGTGTTGCTGCTAACAGGCAAGGGCACACAGCAAGAGCCACTGTAGAAGTCACTGTCTTAGGTAACTGCATGTCCTTTTATTAAATACTTATTAAAAATATGAAGATTTATTAAGATTTGCGCTATAATTTATCTCACTGATTAGAAGGTGGTATTTAATTTATTTCTATTTAATAAAACATATAACGCATTCAAAAGTAAAATAGTATAATGTAAATGTATATTGAAGAAGAAAATGTAAGCAATACATGCCATTAAATGCCAAAAAATCAATATTTGAAAATGTTCATTTTCCAAAATTATAAAGATAGAAGAGTTTCTTGATTTATATTATGTAATAGCAGTATTGCATACATATAACTGTGAACTAACTTTTTGTTCTTAATTTGTTGATTTTTTTAGTGTTGATTTATTATGGTGATGTGGCTGCAGTTGTAATGCAATTTTTGTTTTTTTAAATTCAAAATTGAAATGAGTTGAGATTGTGTTGCAGAGCCTCCGGTTTTATCTGGGCTGGAACCTACCCGTGTGGGTTTGGTTGGCGAAAGACTAGGCCTTCAGTGTTTAGTTATTCGAGGGCAGGTACCAATAAATCTACACTGGCAACGTTCTGAAACTCCAGTCCTTAAATTAAATCTCCCCTCAATTAGTATATCTTCGCCTGCAGAGTACTCGAGCACCTTGTTATTTGAAAATCTCAATTTACATCATACTGGTAACTACACATGTGTGGCTACTAATTCTGCCGCAACAGTATCTGCAACAGTTCAACTTTTTGTTAACGGTAACTGTTTTTAGCAAGAACACGCCAGTTTTGTAACGTACTGCACTGCATTGCACTGCACTACCTGCACCAAAGCAAACTGTTTTGAAAAAGAAAAATATTTTGTTTATCTAATATACAGTTCAAAACAGTTTGTCAATCTTAAAACAAGAAATTGTAGTGTTTTTTTTTATATATTTTGTTTTGAAAAGGGCTATCTAAAAGAAACTTTCAGAGCCCCCAGAAATCACTCCATTCACTGTTCCCGTACTCGAGGCAGGGAGCAGGTTACAAGCAACTTGCACAGTCCACAAAGGGGACCCTCCATTAAATATTTCTTGGAGCAAAGACGGTATTAACATAACACAAGATGTAACTGTCTACAACTTATACACAAGTATACTTAGTATAGCACAAGTGACTAGAAGAGATTCTGGCAATTACACTTGCACGGCAGTCAACCAAGCTTCGACCGTTGAACACACTGCACAACTTATTGTTACTGGTAACAAATCTTTAATCATTTTTATTAGCTTTATTTAGGCTAAAAATTTAACGTTTCCCAAATCAAATTGTATGTGGTTATATAATGTTTAACTAATATTACTTTTAATTTTTTTACAATTTAACCCATTATTTTAACAATACATTAGAACAATTGAAAAATAAAGTTGCAATTTTACATTCATTTATTTGATTAATGCCAATACTACAGAAGATTATCCTACTTTTCAAACTGTAAAAAGTATGTTTTGTCCAAAGTCCGATTGCCAATTATATTGGAAATATTTCACTTTTCAGGTTCAACTTTTCACAACTTTTACCCATAAAGTATCCCATATATCATAAATTGTTGATCTTACAGTAAATTTTATTACACTAGAGCATTGAAAAACCTTTATAAATGAAAAATCATTATAATTATAATTTAAGTAACTAAGTAAATAACTGAAATATCTATTTGCAAGTACACAAAGTTCTTTTCAAAATTTAAATCATTTAAAATTAATTATAATTATTATAATAATATTTAAATTTTAAAAAAAGATTTTCCTGGTCCTAAAAATACTGCTAATAAACTTCAAAAATGTGTTGATTTCTCAAAGGCCAGTTATCTCCAATGTATAATTAACAATTAATTAAGGTTTTTAGTTGAGATGAAAAAAGCTAATGGCACGAGCGGGATTCGAAGCCACGATCTTCGGCTTGATACGCCGCTGCTCTACCACTTGAGCTATTGTGACGTCGATCCACTTGGACACCAACTTCCCATCTCAACCCCACCTTTTTTGAATTTTCCCTCCTTTTTGCCATTTTTCAAAAGTCGTGTAATCGGTTTGGATTCTCGACGACAATTGAAATGGCTTTAGTGAAGTGTACTTCTTTTTTAAATCATTAATTCACTAATTTCGTGGTCCGCTTGACCAATTGATACATAACAATGGGATACATTGAGATGGGGAGTTGATGTCCGAGTGGATCGAGGTCACGATAGCTCAAGCCGTAGAGCAGCGGCGTATCTAGCCGAAGGTCGTGGGTTCGAATCCCTCTCGTGCCATTAGCTTTTTTCATCTCAAATAAAAACCTTAATTAATTGTTATGTATCAATTGGTCATGCAGACCACGAAATTAGTGAATTGTACAATTAACATTTAATTGCTAAAAAAAATATTTTTCAGTTACCAGTCATTAAGATTTTGAAATTTATTAAAAATAATGAATCTAATAAAAAATAAACAAAAATAGACTCTTCCATATAAAATTGAACATAAGGGGAAAAAAGGAAGTTTAAAAAGAATTAAATCACACGTTCACACCTCAATTTTCTTGAAAAATGCAAGCCTGAAATCGGTTCCTGACAGATTTTACTGCACTTAAGAGTTTACCCTGCTTCTCGTCTTTCATTCCTGAATCCTTTCTGCGATGTCACTAGTTTATTGGGTAAAAGTTGTGAAAAAGAAATATTTCAAATACAATTAAGAATCAGACTTTGGTCTAATGTGGACTATTTTTTAGGGCGTCACTGGCCGCAATGTTTAGTTGTTGTCAAGGTGCTCATCACCGTGTATTTGAATCCGACATACTTACAAATGGGCTTTTTTTTTTTTCAAAAACACTAGCGCCCCCCGAGGGTTGACAAAACCTCTGCTGTTGCAAACTCTCGTAAAAATAAAAAATATAAAAAAGGAAAAAAGGGACTTTTAAGTCCAATTTGAGATGTAGGATAACCTGAAGAATTGGTGTCTGTTCATGGGGCACCCTGTGTATGTAAATATGTAAATAAGGACTTTTGAAATCTTTGTGTAGTATAACTTCGTAGTATAATAATATTAAAAAAAAACTTCTGTGTGATTGAGCTTCGTTTTATACCATAACATAAAGTTAACAAATTGGCTTAACCTATATTTTTAATGAAACTGTACAGGAATTTAATTCAAAAATAATGTCTTTAGGTCCCATGCTATTAAAATAGTAATTCTGTTAAAATAACAAATTAAGAATTGTTCAAAGTAAAAATATACAACAACAACTAAATGTGATGGCATGGTGCAGCAGACACCAGTTTTCTGAAAACTAATTGTTCCTCATTTTCTTTTATTGCTGTTATATCTGTAACTAACTTAAACCTGTGACTAAGTAAAGTTTTTTGACAAAAAGAATTTTTTTTTTCATTTATGATTTATGATAGTTTTGACAAAATTTCAAAGTGAATTTCTGTAAGAGCTTCTAGCTATTGACAATTTATATTAGTATATTTCAAAATTCTGAACTTAAAAACAGATTAAACTATTTTAACAACAAAATCAAAAAAGTTTCACATTGTAAAAAATAATATTTATTGAAAATTATCAACACAATTTCTCACAAATAGATCAAATATTTTATAAACCATCATTGACTTATATCTGAGTGAAATTAGCAAAAACATTGAATGAACTATTGTTGTCTATTATCCAGACCAACGAGATCATGTAAAATTTGTAAATCTTATTGTCAAACATTTTTCTAATATGGCTCTTTGAATTTAAGAAACATTAAAATTTACTGAGTGGTTAGGGCATCCAACTCGTGTTTACATTAGCAGTTCTGGTTGAATCCCAACATAGCCTATGTATTTTAATTGAGAATAATATGAACAAAAGTATTAGTTTGATCATTCGTCTGCAACACCCAATTGTACTTGGATATTAAGACCTCCTGTAAGACAAAAATTACTTTACTTTTATTAAAATTTAGTTAGAGTTAGGTTAGGTCAGGGTTGAGTTAGTGTTAGGGTTAAAATAATGTGTTAGGTTTTTTTTTTATCATTAAATGTACTGCTTAAAAGCTAATATACCATATAATACACTACAAAATTACTTCTTAATCATTTTGAATTTTGCCAAGTTAGTTTTAATTAATGATTGGGAAAATAAGAGAAATCAATATAAAACGTACAACAATTAAATCTGCACAAAACAAAACACACATTTTAAAATTATTATTTGGAGGATTTTTTTTCAGTAAATTATAAATTTACATTTTTTATTTTTTAATACTTTTTTAACAAAGAAAAGCTCTACAACCTTGATTTCCTGCTATTTTCTAAGGTAAAATCGCATGAGTGTTGCACTGATTATGCACCATTCAAAGCACTGCACTGCACTAATAATAAATTCATATTTTTATTTGTAACTAAAAAATGTATTTTTTTCCTCATACATTTTTGAGGATATTGACTTGTCATTTGATTATATAAAATGAATAAGTGATATTTCCGTACAAATTAGATATTTTACTACTGCATAAAGAAGCATTACTGTTATTATAAGAGATGCACCAATAACTAAACAATAATGAAATGTATATTTAAAATTAAAAACTATAAAATATAAGTACTGAAAATAACTAACACATATATTTAAAAGTTATTTGATCAATTCTGTCCTCGAAATATTTAAGCACACTATCTGATTCCCTGAAATAAAATAATTACGTAATAAATAAAATTATATTAAAATAATAAAAATATGTCTCTAGCTTTTGACTGGCTATTTCTAGAATATTTTAGTAAAATTTTTTCTTGTCACCATAAAAATACTTTAATAAATCACTAAACTATTTAAAAACAATGTTTATTGTTACACATGTAACTCCCACATAAATGGTTTTCAGTAAACAAACAAAAAATATCATAATAGAAGCATAAATCTTTGTTGAAATTATTATTGTGCATTAAAATTAAGTATTTCAAAAAACATTTAATTCACCATAAAAGCTAATGCAGTAAAAAAGTACATGAACATCATATTTATATTGTGTATACTTTCCTCTGATCAATCAGTTAATAAAATATTTAATTTTCACAAAATTGAGTCAAAAATAAAATTATTTATATCAAAATCACTTTTCAGTGCCACCAGAATGGATTGTTGAACCTCATGATGTAAATGTTGTTGTCGGTCAACCAATATCATTACATTGCAGTGCAGATGGCTACCCAAAGCCTGCACTTACCTGGAGAAAGTCAGTTGGTAATTATATATATATACATATATTTCTTATTATCACAAAATATTATCTTTACAAAATTTCAAACATCAACAGCAGGAGTATTTGTTACTGTAATTATGTTTATTGGGGACCGCAGTAGCCGAGTGGTTAGCATGAGAGACTCTCACGCCTCGGTCGTGAGTTTGATTCCCACCGTCGCCTCTGGCCCTTTTTTCATGATAACCCCCCCAATTTGTACACACATATAAGAATTGTCACCATGGCTAATATGCATAGATCATAACGCAAAAAAAAAAAAACAAAAAAAAATTATGTTTATTATTGTGGCATATTATACACTTACTTATGAATGAAATTTAAAAATTGCACTCATGCCGGCAGGTAAAGATTCAACACAGTTTGGTGAAAAGCTGTCAGGAACAGAAAACGGCACATATACTGTGAGTAGTGCCTCTGATGAAGATGAAGGATATTATTTATGTGAAGCACATAACGGGATTGGAGCAGGCTTAAGCGCTGTTATATTTTTACATGTCAATGGTAACCAATATTTTATTCATAGTTGTAAATAAGTCCAATTTAATGCATTCTAAAAAGCAATCACTGTCTATTTACCCTCATAGTTATTATTTATACATTTTTCAGCTCTTCCTAATTTTGTGTCTGGTGGGCGTAAAGTATTAGCAACGAGAGGTGTCTCAGCAGTCTTAAAATGTGAGGCAAGAGGTGATTTACCTCTAGTTGTAAAATGGCAGCGCAACCACATTACGATAACATCCAGTTCTGACAAGTAGGTTTTCTGATAATATTACATATTTCCATTATTAAGGAGTGTAATCTTTTGGCAGATATGAACTGAAAGAAACTTTTCTGGAAGAGGCAAAAACCATAAAATCACAGTTGACCGTCAAAAACACGATGCAAACCGATTCAGGAAAGTATGTGTGTACGGCGTCCAATTCATTCGGAAGCGATGAAATGGTAGTACATTTGTCGATTCAAGGTAAATTAATACATTATAAAAAATTTCATATATTTATTGACTAAATTTACAAAACAAATTAAATTTATATTATATTACAGATGTTCCGGAACCTCCAAAGGATGTGAAAATTATTGAAACATCCAGCAGAAGTTTAAAAATTAGTTGGATGCAACCCCAAGATAACAATAGTCCTCTTCTTCACTATTCCATCTCTTTTACAAAAGATCCAGGTATGTGCAAGGTTTACAATGAAATATTATGCATTTATATCAAGAAATTAGAAAATATACAATATTCCCTGATCTATAGATAATTGGTTGAATTCTGAAGATACAAAAGAACTTTGGACTTGGTATGAAATACAACATTTACATCCTTCAACAAAATATCACATTCGTGTATTTGCTGTAAATCATGTTGGTCCATCGCCGCCAAGTGAAATTGTTTCTGCTAAAACTGGTAGTTATTGTTATTATTGCAATGTGTTCTGTATGTCAAATTTAAATGGCAAAAAATTTAAGGGCCTGAAATTCCATCTGGAGCACCCATTGAAATAATAGCTACTCCAATTTCAAATAGCAAAATTGAATTGAACTGGAAACCTCCTGTTCCTGAACATAGAAATGCACCAATCACGGGTTATACAATAGGATTCAAGCGAGCCATGTATGTAAAAACACTGAAATTTAACCTTTTTTTCACAACTGAGCCCATACTTGATTTGTAGTTGCATTTTTTTTTTTTTTTTTTTTTTTTTTTAACAATTATATGCATATATGGCTAAATATCCAATTACAATTTGTGATGATTGGCAATCAAATGATGTAACAAAATTATTTATTTCAAACAAGACTTTGCTCTGTTAAAGCTATGTTGTTTATTATTATTTAGAGATGAATCATACAACTACACCAATTTGGACTTCACATCAGATATTGAACGCCTTTCTCATACATTAACTGGACTTAAAAGTTTCACAAAATATGAAATAACTATTCAGGCAATTAATATAATGGGAAGTGGGCTAACAAGTCAGGCTGTTTTCTGTACAACTCTGGAAGCTGGTAAACCTTTGCGATCTTTTCTTTCTTTTTAATTAAATATTTAAATTTTTTTCAATTGTTTTATTTGATTTCAATAGCACCTGACGACTCACCGAAAGATGTAAACTGCAAAGCAGTGAGCTCACAGCGTTTGGATATTCGTTGGACAAAACCTCCTAAATCGAAGCAAAATGGAAAAATACTTGGTTACAAAATAACTTACCTGAAAATACCACCAGTTAATGACATATTAAGTAAGTTTCTAAATGTTATTTTTTAATAAGTTAAATGAAACTAAATAATTCTGCCAGACATTTAAAATTGTTTTCACGTTCAATTAATGTAATAATCATAATAACAAAACATAGGTGATATCATTTCTAATCAGCTCCCAGCCAGTCCCGAATGTCACCCTCATTGGTTCCTGCCCTATAACAAAAACTTCACGCTCACATATTTTATCCATTTCATGGAAAAACATTGAATCATGCATATGTAACTTAACTCAACCTAACTTAATCTAACCTAACCAGACTTATGAGATTTTACCTTATTAAATAGCAAGAAACCACAGTGTTGTAGATCTTGTAGATTGTAAGTTTATAAATAACTGCAAAAAAAAATTTTTTTTCATAGATTTAATTTTGTAATTTTTATGCTGATCTCTCTTACTTTTTTTGTAATTTGTTCTTCTTCTCTTACTTTATATTTAACACATTGACTGCAGAAGACTATGGTCATTTCAATTGTTTTTTACTGGAAGTGATTTTTTTATTTATCCTGTGTATGTGTGGTTATTTTAATTAATTATTTACCCATTGTGTATGATTGCATAAATTAAATGAAAAATTATTATCAAAAGTAAAAACAACTTTTATTGAACTACACACCCAAATGGGACAAACGTTCTTCAGATTGCATGCTTCATTATTTATAACTGCAGGGAATACAACTGTTGCCTCATTATATCACTTGGATAAACACAATAAGAATAAGAAATTCATTCACATTGTTTTTAAGCACCAGAGGTCTATTTTACATGGTAATTTGGGTTCCGCTGTGGTCAACCAAAATGGCCAAGCATATGCCGCATTCAACATGTTAAACTGTTAAATAATTAATAAATATTAGAAAAATCAAACCCTAACCTAACCACACTCATGTGGTTTAACCTCAGAAAATAGCATCACAAGGTTGTACAGCTTTTCTTTATTGAAAAAGTGTTTTTAAGAATTTAGAGGCTATAATTTGCTGAGTTTATTGTTGATTTTTTTATATCATTATCATAATTAATTAAAATTAACTCAGCTAAATTAAAAATGGTTAAGATTAATTCTGAGGTGCATTATTATATACGGTTCATTAGCATTTAAGCAAACAATTAGTAAATATCAGAAAACCTAACCCTACAACCTAACTTCACCCAGCTCAACCTAACCTAGCCCATCCCCCCCATTTCCAGCTCTGTTTTTATACATGAGTAAATTCACCTTAAGTGAAGAAATAATCGTTGTTTTAGCTAATACGAATATTCGAAGTAGACACAAAAGTTAGAATTGGAAAATGTACACAATTTTAAATTATTTTTAGCTGAAGCATTTGAAGAATCAAAAAAGACAGATAGGGAATCTTTTATTTTAACATCACTTGAAAAATTTACATCATATTCTATCAAAGTGAGTGCATTCACGATAGCCGGAATGGGCCCACAAAGTAGTCCCATATTTTGTACAACAATGGAATCAGGTATTGCCTTATATTCAATTTACATTTTTATTTGACAAGATATTTAATATATTATTAAATATGTAGCTCCAGATCCACCGCAGGAGATGAAAGTAGTACAAAGTGGTTTGCAGAATGTTATTATAAGTTGGTTACATCCATCGAAGGCCTATGGGCGTCTTATCAATGTTAAATTACACCAAAGAGAGCTCTCTTTAGGAAATTCTGTACAAATTCGAAGCCTCTCGCCAGATATAAATTACTTAACGTTGGGAATAAAATTTGGTATTAGCTATGAATGGTGGATGTCTGCTGTCAATTCAGCAGGTGAAAGCGTTCCAACGACTACGATTTCATTCACCCCAGCAGATAAAGGTCTACAGATAATTTACAACCCTACAGTAGCCAAAATATTTATTTAAAATTTATGTTTCAGTAAGTGCTAAAATTTACTCTATTGGATCAGAGAAATACGTCGGTTTGGGAAGCAAAGTAGACATGACTTGCAATTCGGTCGGTATTCCACTCCCGATTACCGCATGGAAACGGAACAACAAGGACATATCTGCCTCAGGTTACAAGATTTGGTCAAATAAGACACTTACCATCAATCATGTTACAAACAAACATGGAGGAAACTATACTTGCATAGTGAAAAATTCCCATGGAAGTGATCACATTTCATACTTGCTCAACATAATAGGTTAGCAATGTAGAAAGAACTATGCATTACATAACATAATTTCCATTAGACAGTTAAATTTAATATTTGATGTTACATTTATTTTCAGGCCCTCCCAGTGCTCCAAAATTACACCTTGTTATGGCCACTGTCCATAATATTACCTTAGGTTGGGGAAGGCCTCAGCAAGCTCTAGCACTTTTGGGTTATAAATTAATATACAGGATTTTCAACGTAATTATTTTTTGTTTCTAGTGAAACTGTCTAAATATATGTGTGTAAAAATGTGTGGTATTTAGTGACCATTAGTCAATGATTATTCGGAGATGGTGAGATGCGGTCTGGTGTGATGTAGGTTTTAGAAAAACGCTAATATCATTAATCAAATTCAATATAGATAACATACATATATCATCACATCACACAACACATATAATGCAACATATAAAACAATCAACACATTCCATACATCAAACATTTCTACATAATTTAAATTCTTCAACAATTTGGCTTTCCTTTCCCTAATTATCCCTGTCTATATAAGCCTGAAGGATAATCAGGCCGAACCATTACCCACGTTTTTCCCATTGTCGGCTTCTTTCACCTCAAAGAAGCCGACTCCTCATATAAAAATGTCTTTCTATTCCCCACTTCCCTCCCCACCCCTTCAAAATCCAATGTATATGAGCATAAAACATCAATGTGTGGTGATTAGTGACCGTTAATCGATAATTATTCAGAAATCGTGAGATGCGGTCTAGTGTGATGTAGGTTTCAGAAAAACATTTTCTTTATCGTGCTAATGTTTCGATCTTTATTGAGATCATCTTCAGGGCTCATATCAATCAGTGTGGGCACTCTCAACATGACACGCAAGGATAGCACAATTACACAGAAGACAAACACTTTGAACCCTGAAGATGATCTCAATAAAGATCGAAACGTTGGCATGATAAAGAAAATGTTTTTCTGAAACCTACATCACACCAGACCGCATCTCACGATTTCTGAATAATTATAAAACATCAATATCTCACTGGCACTCTCAACACGACAGACAAGAATGACACATCTACACGGAAAACAAACATTTGAGTGAGTACAAATACTTTGATTGAATTTAAAATTTTCTAGCATTGTATAATTTTTTTTTAATCTAAAATTTTCTAGCATTGTATGAATTCATTTTTTTAATCTAAAATTTTCTAGCATTATAATAAATTCAATTTTTTTAAAGCGAAAATTTCTAGCATTGTATATATTCATTTTTTCACATCCTACATGTATTTGTAAAATTTAAACAATGTTTATAAATCCCAGGCCCTGAAGATGATCTTTATAAAGATCGAAACGTTGGCACAATAAAGAAAATGTTTTTCTAAAACCTACGTCACACCAGACCGCATCTCACGACCTCTGAATTATCATTGTCTAAATATAATCAAATGCATTTTTGTCTTAGAAATCGTTGAATTGGAATGAAATCAATTTCACCAATAGTGCTGATGAATTCACAATAAGCAATCTGCAATGTGGTACTACAATAGAAGCTAGAATAAGTGCAGAAAACCGAGTAGGAATGGGGCCTCTCAGTGATATATTACAGCTGTCAACATTGGCGCCTGCACCTGAGCCACCTCTTCCTGACCAAGTACATTACAATACTACATGACTAGCATTATTCGTACAGTAAATTAATTTGTGTTATGCAACTTATACTTCTTCTCAGGCATTAACAACAACGTCAAATACAATCATAGTCCATTTGGAACTGTGGAGGTTCTTTGAATGCCCCGTAACGCATTTTGTGATAGAAAGAAAAACAAGAAATAGCAAATGGCACCTAGGTATGTGGTTTTTGGTATCAGTTCACACTAAACATATATTGATGATGTCTTTTATTAATTTATAATAAGCTCAATTCTGCACATGTCTGTACATACTCATCTGAACAGAATGACCTACATCAGATTTAGGCAGTGCAGGGTCAGACCTTGAACTTACCCGTCCTACACCGAAGTTAGACTCCTGCGGCTGTCAACGGCTAGGTCATTTCAGCTCCCAATGCATGCAGTTATTAAATTCACACTCATTCACTCAAATAGGGTAGTGGAATACTAGATATTCACTCCATCACCCTTTACAATTATTTATGTACTAATCAAATTAAGGGTCGATGAGGTTCTATATTCCACAATCAGTTCTCTCACATATTCATGCTAGTAAATACATTCACTCTAAACATATAGAAAACAAGATCAGAACTACATACAATAAAACAACCCTGTTTTCTTTAACCTAACTCATGCACAGTTCTCATATCGGGTGGCATTCCTACACACTCTCTTTAATGGAGCCAAGGGCACTCTACAAAAGGACACATGGAACTTTTATCTGCTTAAAAAAGAATTAATTGTATTGCCTTCTTTATTATTCTAAAATTATCTTGCGTATAAATATAAGCACTTTCCTTGGTCACTCTTTGCTTCTTGACTTAGTGTGAGAATTGCCTTACCGAAGTGGCTGTACCATACAGACTAGACCTCACATTCACAAAGACATGTGCCAATGTCTCACATTCCTCTTGACAAAGTTTTGGTCTCATCTTTACCTATTATTCATTAGACAGTAGTTAAGTAGGCTGTGGCTAGAGACCTATAATTTTCTTCGAATTTTTGCCTTTTTGAGAGAATTATAAATCTGTTAGCTTGTCTCAAACCTGGTGTTCGTCTAGTGTTTTTCTTTTGTAAGTAATTTTCGGTGGTTTCGGTCCCATAAGAACATCTGCCCCTTCTTTGGCTAATTGGCCAGCATGTTCATTTCTTTCCATACCTTTATTTCTCGAAAACCATCTCAACGTAGCCTTGTTGTGTTCTCTTAGGGACATCAGGCATTTAGTGCATTCTCGCATTAGTTAGGAGTTAAAATCATAAACATTTATGCCTTTATTCTACTTTAGCATAAGTATGTAANTAGACTAAACTAGGAATTATTCAATCTACTGTTACATTAAAATTTTAAAAATGTGTAACAAAATATATAAAAATAGTATATATACTACTGCTTTTGGCAATTGGTCTTCAAATATATTATATTTAAAAAAGCGGTTTGAATAAGTACTTTAAGGCATTTATTAATTGAAGGCAGGGTTAATTTTATAATTATTGAATGTCATCACACTCGAGAAAATAAATTACTCCCTATCAAAGTAGAACGATTTTGTATTTTTTTTTACATTTTAGTTTTAATACAGTACTAATTGAAACAGTTCTGATTTTTTTTTATAGATAATAATTGAAGATTATTTTGTAAAAATAATTGAGAATTTTATTGTTTAACTGAAGCTGTTGATTTCTTCAGTATTTCAATGCTTTGAATGTCAATGATTTTTATTTAAGAACATTTGTAATTTCATCGCTTATTAACCTGTGATATTGTCTTTATATTCATTATAATCAAACGCAATCTTGATATATGTATAATATCTCTCTTTGTAAACAGCGAAATAACTTTTCACTATTGATTTTCACTGCTGTTATATATTGTATGAACCTTAAAATATCATAATTTAGAGAAATATTCTGTAATCTAATGAATGTTATTTGTAGTGCGTATTTCTTAAACAAAGCTAAGTATCAAAAGCAACTTAGATATGAAAATTATGTATCTTTATTGCATATTATGTATTATGATTATAATGTTAATAAATTAAATTCCTACCATTATTTTTTTTTTTTTTAACTTTTTTCATTTCACGATTTTAATAGATGTATTTTGCAGCTAATTCATTCTGCACTGCTAGGAACTATTTGTGCCAAGTTCATTAAAACTGAAATGATGTCCGACAAAGTATCAGAAGCTATATTAAATATCAATCCTGTCCGATCACATCCCATGATAAATGTGAAATATTTATTGTTCTTTTACAAACTTTGTATAAATTTATATGTTTGACTTGTTCATTTCAAAGAGCATTATTGAGCGCTCAAAGAAAGAATTAAGCAAACAAACTGTCTTCTGTTAATTCCCTTTGGTATTCAAACACATCCAGCAATTATAACTAATATTCTATGAAGATAATTATTTTATTAACACTTGATTTACCACATTTCATGATATGAAAATTGCCTTCAGAAAATTCTATACAGGAAACAATATGTATAAAATCTGTTTGAATGTGTTTGCAAATTAAGTAAATGAATAAGCATTTAATTAGTATTTAAATCATCATAGCTTACATTGTAAAATAAGTGTGGCTGACAGATCCATCAAAAAATCAATGTTTAATTCAGTTTTTTGTACTTTAATAAAAGAAATGTGTATAATTAGGTGAACAAAAGTATTGACAGATTTACTGATGCAAAATATCTTATTACTATTTGAAAAGGAATATGTGTTTAAAAGTAGTGTAATAAAAGCTTTTCCTTGTTGGAATAGAAAAAGTTCAATATCAATACCCAAATAGTTGTAGAAATATTTAAACTATTAATTTTATTAATTCAATTATATAAATTCTCAGAACCAAAAGTATATTATTTAAAAATATATCAATGTATTGATGTGAAATATATGTTTATTGATACATTTATGTAGTAATGGCCTAATAACAGGTTAAGTTAAATGTAAACTAAGTTATTTATAAAATCTTATTTAACCTTGCATACAATATATCAATCAGAGTGCACTAGTATTAGTTTATACAGATGTAGTATATAAAATACACAACTTTGGTGCCAAATGTTTGATTTTTATCAATTAACAGTAGCAAACTGCATATTTTTCTTGTGAGGCTATAAATAAAAAATTCTATTGACTCAACTTCAGTTCGTTAACCCAGAGTTGTGCCAATTCAATTGAAAAATGTTATAAAATTAAATTTAATGTCATTCTGTAAATGTAATAAAAAATTAAAAATATATTACAGTTTTGTGATTAATGTAACGTTCATTACCACCTGTTAAAAGATTCGTTTGATCGGGAGGAAAATTACAATTTAGTTTTTTTATTTGCTACTATCTGTACCAGTTGGAAATTTTCAAAATAAAATTAGATATAAGTTGACGAATAAATTATGGATTATATTTACCATTTAGATGAACCAAAGATCAATTGACACGGCGCTCATCACTGTAAAGTAAAGGTCCTGGGTTTGAATTCTGTGCCCCTGAATTCGAACCCGACATACTTACAAATGGGCCTTTTTATCATTCTTATTTCCTGTTGTTAGAGATGCTAACTTTAGCATTAAAAAAAACCCTTTCCAAAAGATGTACAAAAATTGGACTCTGTCTAAAAATTTCTCCATGGTTGTTTAGCGAATTTAAGTTTTCCAATTGAAAATTTACACAAGATAAGTTTTAACTATATGGTAAAGAAAAACAAGTGTTTTTTTCCATAGGAAGTATTTAAATCCGTGAACCTTTCATTTTCTTCTTTATAAACAACTGTGCATGGAGTTGGATTGCATGGATTCCATCTTTGATCCATCAGTATACCGGAAATCTCTGTTGTCTACGACCATGAATTACTGCTTAAAGATATGTTTAAATTAAATTATATTATAATTTTCAATGATGATTTTTAAATAAAAATGAGTGATTGGTGTGTATTGCAGCTAATATATCATTTTGCTTGCTCAAAAATTCCTAATTTGACCAACATTTAGGCCTGAGTGTGTAATACTTAATTTGTTTTGTTGTTATGGTGTGATAAATCATTATAAAATATTTTTATTTATTGTTATTATTGCCAAATTAAATAATGCATTTTTAATCAAGTATATAAAAACATTGCAAACAGTTGGTGAGTGGCTTCCTGGGTCTAACTATGTAATGTCTGGGCTACAACCGTCGACATTTTACCAAATCTGCATCATCTCCCACACATCTGCAGGGCAAATCAGCCATTATTTTCACACAACAACTAAACCAGCTAATGGAGGTAGGATAGACACACAAAAGAATGATGAAATTGAACAATTTTTTTATATTTGACAATTTTAATTGTAGAAGAAAGCCAAATCGATACTCCTTGGGAGCCGAGGGAACAGCCGAAGCCGTTTTATTTAGATTTACACACAACTTTGCCTATAATCGCATCAATACTGGCTCTTATACTTGCAATTGTGACTATAATAATATGCCTAAAACAAAGTATGCATATTTAAAAATCTAATGTCCTTATTTGAAAATGACTCATAAATCGATTTATAGAAATTTGGAAGTGCAACAATTTAGAAGAGCCAAGCGCTGAAGTGATGCCACAACCCGAGTATTATTCAGCGATGGATAAAAAAGCGGAACCTACAAACAGAGTAGATCCTGGTAAAATAATTTTAAATGTGCTTCTACATTTTAACAAAACATTTAATTTGTATAATTTTTTAGAGTACGCTGATGAAATTTACCCATACGCTACATTTCAAATGCCTAAAGCCAGTAAAGAAAAACTGACTCATGATTTTCATCCTTTTATCTACCAGGGATCTTCCATTGTGGATGTCAATAATTTTCCTACTCCTAAAAGCAAGGTACTTAATGATGAAAAGAATTATAACTGATTATTCATATAATTTGGTCAATACCGATCGTTGTGGTCTGCCTGTCAGAAAAATTGTTCAGAAAAATAAAAATCACCCAGACTTAACTGAAGATGGTGAAAAGCCCCAAAATGTGCCTGACAGATTAAAACCACAAGGATAGGCAGATAAAGATAACTGCATGACTTGTATGTAACATCCATAAATTCTTTTTTTTTTTTTTTTTTTACAAATAACAATTTTTTCTCAAAATATTATTATTATTAGACACAGGGTTCTGGTGTTGTTGAAAAACATCCACTTGTAAGTACATTGGGTTTGGAATTTAGGGCCACTGAGATTCATTCGAAACAGTTTCACAGGTTATCCCCTATTTAAATTTTATTTTATTTAGTTTTAGAATCAATCTGTCATTGCATCTTGCAATTATTATCTTCTGTACAAATAAACAAAATGTTATGCAAATACATTGGTGGTTAGAATATTGAGGTGGAGTTCTTTTTTGGAAAAAATTGTCAAAATTTCATTTTCTTCATCTTATTTTATGCTGATTTTCAGCTTATATCAGGAACTTGAAAATGTCAAATATAAATTAATGCAGTTGAAATGAGTAGGCCTCTTTACAACCATGCATACCATGACCAATATTGGTCTATTGTGTCATTTCTTTTTCTAGAGCTCTTTGTTAATCTTAAGGTGTTTAACCAGATCCCAGTGCTTTAAGATCATCTGTATCCTTCAGGCCTTGGCTTTTTCTCTACCAGGAGTATGAATCTCAATCTGCGTACACCTTCGCACCAAACAGCTAACAACATATTCCACTGTTGCTTCTTATTCGTGGCAATATCTGCCCAGGCAAGGTTGCATCTCCAGAATCTGCAGTGTCCAATCACCAATCATTATCATTCTACCCTACATGTCCTAAGTTTAGTAGTTCTGTCGTTGATTTCTGCAAAGCTCACGAACTTTTTGCATCCCTCTGTCCTGGAATTTCCCAATTGAACTGAGGACTGTTTAACCCATTGTCCGATGTATCTATGCTTATAAATTTGAACCTTCCTTGGCCAATTTATCTGCCCTGGTACCTAAATAAAGGTAATTTTGTTATTTTCGCCAAGTGGCATGTTCCACTTCTTCTTCTTACTTGCAATATCTATACAGGCTTGTTTCCGCTGCTCCAAGTCTATGCATACACCTTCAGAGTCTGCAGTCCAAATATTATTCCAGTCTTAACAAACCCTAGTTTGTATAGTTCTACCGTTAGTACCTGTGAGAGTCTTTTAATGAATTTTTTACATGCCTCTCTCCTGGAATTTAATCCCATTGAACCGAGGACTTATTTTTAACCCGTTGTCTGATGGATCTGCAATTTAGTCTGCCGTAAAAGGGATCAAGGCCGATAGGTGTCCTGATTGAATTTTCCTTCAACAATCAGCCACCTCGTTGTCCCTCTGTCCTGTATGTTCTGATCCCGAAACAAGGTTATGTTGTTTTCCCCCAATGTTCGAAAGGGCCTTGATGCCATCGCAAACAGCTATGGACTTTACTACCAATGAGGTTCCTGTATTGCTGCCCGTTATTAACAGGTCTCAATTCTGATTGAAATTTAATGGCATATTGCCCAAGGCTTATTTGAATTATAGTCATTGGTTTATTTCCGTAGTCATACTCGGTTTTAGACCCCAGTTGGCATTAGCGGATCCCTTTCACCAATTCTGCTTTTCCAAAGATAAGTATGACATTAAAATTGACACTTGTAAAAAACATCAATGAATAAAAGATCACCTTCATAAATAGTTTCTACAGTTTATAAATTCAATAAATAACACCACCGATCTATTAATGCTTATTATTTTAGCAGTACAATGATCATGTTCTTCCTCCAGATGAATATGATAACCTTGATGATGTGCAATTTCAAATGTCTTTACATCGACATATGAAACAAAGTAAGTTTTTTTTTTTTTTTTTTTTGAAAGTATATAGGATTAATTTGACTCTTATAATTTCAACATTTCAGATCAAATCACAAGCATGAAGGTATCAAGCCCTATTGATATTTCCCCACAGCATGTTAAAAATCACACTTTCCGAAAAAATAAATATATTTATACAAACCTAATGAAATAAAAATGAGTCTAATCTCGGATTGGATTGTAATTTGGTAATGTCAAAAGAAAGTTAACAGGCGACTGTCGTAATTCCTATGAAATTTATATTTTTATTGTTATATAAGTGAAATTTGTNCGAACCCTAATAAAAAATTAAATTTAATGACATTTTGTAAATGTAATTAAAAAAATTAAAAATATATTACAGTTTTGATGTACAAAAATGGGACTCACTGTCTAAAAATTTCTCCGTGGTTGTTTAGCGAATTTAAGTTTTCCTATTGAAAATTTACAAAAGATAAGTTTTAACTATATGGTAAAGAAAAACAAGTGTTTTTTCCATAGGAGAATTTTCCTCCATAACAAACAAACCACTTCTATGGTTGCTACTGGTAGAAGACCTAATCAAAGAGCTTAACGGTTGAGAATACCATACCATAGGTTTTACGTGGTAGATATCATAAATAGAAAAATTGTTGAATCATATGCAAAACACACTAAACATTGGTCAGAAATTATGCAGCGAAACTGGTTAATAATCTGTAAGATGGAGTATTGGTTATATGTCACTACGGTCAGACCCTTAGTCTCATGAAGCACTGGTATAGTGGAAAAACACGCTGCATAGACACAAAACCTATAGCAAAGTCTACAAAGACTCTTAATATAACGGAATCAATGCATAATTGTCCCACAACAGCTATAGATTCACATACAAAAGGTCTAAAAACTAATAGTAACTGACATTATGAGGGGAACTCAACTCTGTCACCTCCCAAGTGGTCATAGATATCAAAGATCTTTGGAAGAACGCAGGTTTCAGGAAGGGGCCTAACATGAATCAAAGATGGTATAAGGGTGTATATGTAGGGGTAAAATGAAAGATGGATCTTTCGGACAGTCACGGAGCAATAAAGGGCATGAAGTCACTAAACGCTTATTCTTTTAGTCTAAACTAGTCTGATTATGCCTAAATTGCCTGAGGTGGGTTCCGAGGCATGAAAGGATAAGGAGAAAAGGAACAGGCTGACCAACTAGTCAATAGGTCAGACCTCTCACCCATGTAAACTAGAATCACAACTAAGTGCACCAGTGTGTGGAACATAGGATAGGGGTAAAGGGGTGAATTACGGCCTAGCAAAACCCCTTGGACTGGTTCCAACTATTTTCCAAGCTGAGTAGTATACAAATAAACTAAAAGGTGCACAGGTTTACATATTTTGGGACAGTCAGACAACTAAAAGGCACTAAATATGTATGCTGTACTCCAAAGTAGTCTGGGAGTGCCTAAATCGCCTAACAGCCCTAGGAATATACAAAGTGAGGTGGGTACCGGGACATTATGGTAAGGAAACAGGCAGTCCAACTAGCTAAATTGTGGCAGCCTTCTCATGTTTGGGACCAGAACTACAACTAGGCACAACAGAGAGTGCTAAAGGTTCCACAATGACCTATCTATATAGGTCCAAAGTGGAGTAAAAAATCCCTACAAAGGGATTGTGTTGTTCTATAACACATCAATGCTATAGAATAAACAATTAAACCATATGTAAAGGAGCTAGTTAAGATTTGTCTAAGTCAAAAGTATCAGGCTAAAAAAATAAATAAATAAACAGAAATCACAATCATTCTTTTGATTTATTTGAGCTAACATATTTTCATGGCTGTTTTATTTTCTGAATTAACTCAACATCCAGATTTAAGCTAATACATTCTCAATATAACTATAAAATTTTATTTTAAATAGTTTTATTATTTTGAATCTGTATTTGTTGTGACATTTAAGCAGTGTTTACAAAGTTTTTCATGCGCCTACATTTGGAAATATATAAATTAAAAACCATTTAGCTTTTTACAAGCATAATGACAAACAATTTTTTATGATCTTTATCTTATCATTTTAACAGTGGAACAGAAAATTTTTAGTGACAAAAATGTTATGTGCGTTTCTTTTATTATCGTCATATTTGAATACTACATTAAACAAGCACACATTTAAATTTATACATTTATTCAAAATACAATTTTAAAGTTTAGTCATTCAACTTCTTTCAAGTTTAGTTTATAAACTATTTCTTAATCAAATATGTAAAGCTCAATTTCATTAGTTGACAATTTTAACAAGAAATTTTTTTTTATATTCTTATCTACATTATATTACAAAATGTGCTAAGAATTACTTTTGATGAAATACTCTCCTAATTTCTACATAATATTAATTTATGTGCAAAAATGTAACTCTAGTACAGTTTTTAAATTTTGACTACTGTATTTCAAAAATGAATCTGTCGCTTCATATTTCAAAAATATATTTGTATTCTTGAATGTGATCTTATAAAAATTATAAACGATAAGAAAACCAGCAAACTTATGTACAAATACAAATCGGGTGCAACAAAGAAAATCTCAACTATTTTTGTCCGTTTTGAAAATTCCAATTGAATCATTTTTTGGTAAGTATAAAATTTTGAGATATCAATCAGTTACATTCTAATGACAATAATTAAGAAAAAATAATTTTAATGTCGATTTATTACAGGCTTTAAGTACCAAACACTAAAGCATTTTAATCAAAATAGATACATTGTTTTATAAGAAAATAAAATTGTCTTCAGAGCACATAAACTTTCTTAACAAATAATAAAATATATTTTATAATTACATATAGCGTATATGCTCTGAAGACAATGAATTACCACTCATGGTATAACTTTTATCTATATTACATATTATACTATAATGAAATATTTTTATAATTATAGTATCTATGTTCTGAATTAAAATTTTCAAGAAATTTTTAACCAATTTCACTAGCTAAGCTACCAGTAAAATATCCAATATATGTAAATCTTTCTTTCTATTCTCTCTGATACGCACATACACCCAGGCTTTTATAATTACGACTAGGACAAAAATTAAGATGCACGTATATGTGTCTAACCACATTAGTGAATAAAATAAACCCAATTTGAGTGCATGACTAAGGACTTTTATTCATTCTATTTATTATTTTCTTAAAATGACAAAACAATAGCTTTGATGAGTGGCAAGCTAATACCATCCATATTTATAAACGAATAAAAGACAATTAGTAACAATTACACTTAAAAAAGTGTTTCTGTTGCTTGATGTGCATCATATAAAAAAAAAATTATTAAAATCGTTGGAGTATTGACAAAAAAAAACTTACAATACTGCCAAAAACATTTTTTTCTCAATAGGAGCAAATTAAATGCCTTTTTTTCTTAATCAAATGGTCAAATGTACAGCCCAATTTGTTTACGTCACCATTTAGGATTATTTTAACATTGCACTTCTATTAACATTAAAAGAAAAGAAACATAACAGTATTATAATACAAGAGTTGGATTCCAATTTAACATAAAAACCATTTTGAGCCATTGACCATTGTGTGATTCAGTATTATTAAATCAAAACTTTCAAAAAAAAATAATAATAATAATAAATAAATTAAAAAAAAAAAAAAAACTTCATTGTTCTCAAAAATCGCAAGCAACATTGAATTATTTAGACAGAAACTATCTCTTAAACATTTGTTTACACTTTCAATTAATTAATCTTTTTATGTAAGGTTTTGGTTGAAATGGCAAAGTTAGTGCCACAAGCGGGATTCGAACCCACGACCTTCGGCTAAATATGCCGCTGCTCTACCACATGAGCTATCGTGATAAGTGGTAGAGCAGCGGTGTATTTAGCCAAAGGTTGTGGGTTCGGATCCCACTTGCGGCACTAATTTTTTCATTTCAACCAAAACCTTACATAAAAAGATTAATTAATTAATTGAAGTAAGTAATTTGGTCAATGGACGACGAAATATAATGGATTTGTTTAAACATTAGACAAATTTGCCAATGAACATTTATATAGTATTTTGTATAAATGAGTATTCTGTGAATTGTTACACTTTAAAACTAAACGTTTAATTTTGACACAAATTAAAAAAATTTGTAGGAAGGTTTAACATTTTGTACATCGTTTGGTTTATTATTGCAAGAGATAACTCTAATAATAAAAATAAATCTATGGCACTCTTCTATAGGAAAGTAATACATAAATATTAATTTTTTTTTTTAATTAACCAATTTTCATTATATACAATTTATTCGTAGTAATGGTAACTTTGACATTTGTGTTTTATGTGTTGATTAAACATTTTCATAAAATTAAATCAACACGTATGGGCTCTATGGGTTTTTTCCTACTTTGTCAATTCAGAGTACAATAATTAAACAAAATATGACTTTTTCTTAATAAATAAAAACAACACCAAGATCCAATTACATGTTTCACATGTTATTCATTCATTTCATATAAAAGGCAAACGGCCATGCGTTGAGTATACACTTGAGCATGATTACAAACAATACAAATACTAAGGAAAAAAAGACAAGGACCTGTCCTCTATAGAATCAAAACTTTACATATTTCACTATTAATAATTATAGTTTGTTCCAAAATAAAATAAAGTAAATATAAATAATTAAACAACTTACAAACTTAGCTGATTCTAAACAACACATTAAAACTAAATAAAAAATAATAATATGGTTTTTTTTTCAAACTAATTTTAATCATAATGTTGATAAAATTGTGCTCTTTGATGTTTCAGGAGCAGTTAAGCAGATGTTTCCCAGCGTATCTGAATGATCCTGATTGTGGTCATACTCAAGCGTCTACACAACTTTATATGTACAAAAATGGACTACAGCCATGATCTTGTACTTATCACAAGTTGCAGTAGGTTTAAAAATTAATCAGACATCTATAATCATGTTATTTATCACTGAGTTTGACATGGCACTCTTACTTGGTAATAAGAAAATTTGGATGGTTCAAGTATTTTGATCATTATATTTATCCTAAAAAATTAATTTTAATATTATTCAAGTATTTATTGTCTTAATGTAGTAAAACTATAAAAAAAAATGCAATTGTGTGGTTTGTAAAATATTACATCACATTTACTATTTATGATAAAAAGTAAACATAAATTTTCCAATGGTTTATACTCACACTTTTGATTTACATATCAGCATGAACGGGTTGATAATCCTATTCGAGGCCCTCAGCAAAATGTGATAAACAAATCATGGCCATAATACTTAAACATTCAGTTATTTTCTATAATGGGGACTAATTTTAAATATATANCAGTCTTGGCAAAAGGCTAACACTCAAGTAGTACAGGTAACAACTATATTGTAAAAAAACTTCTGTACATAGTACATTTTCCTCCTTGTGCTAGATTTATCTTTTAAAACAATGGCTGCTAATTAGCCTCTATTCAAGAAGGAAACTAAAATAACATGACTTTTTACCTCCAAAGGCTTTTTCGGTGTTAATTATAATGACTGTTTTTCTTTTTCATTTAAAGTTTGTAAATGAAGAGTTAGAACCTATTTGAAAAAATGATTCATAATTAGATCTGTCTCTTAGTGCTTATGAATCAATATTATTTACTTACATTCTGCAAAGATGCCTATCTACGCATTCAAAAACATTTTATATAAACACAATTTTGAAAATAAAGTCGCATTTCATCCATGTTAACCAAATGTAGTAATACTTAGTTAAGTAATTTTCAAGAAGATGGCTTGGGTGACAATGACAATGACATAAAAATTACTGTGATTCCAGAAGAGATTAACAAATGTTTAACTTTTTTTTATTAAAAATAAAAATATTGAGTCTGTTAAAATTGTTCTTAATTATAAACAAAAAAAATTTTTTTTTTGATACTATTGTACAAGTGACGTTTCTTTGGCTTTCATTTTCAAAAAACACAAATTTATTTAAAACAATTAAATCAGGTAAAAACCCTATAATTAAATCATGCAAATTCTGACCATCATCATCAAATTATACACGTAGAAATAAAACTATTGTAAAACTACAAATGGTTCACATAAATGACATCTATGGAATAATCATTCTTTGTAACAACCATAATTATATAAAATTAAAAAATAAAATAAAATAAAAAATAAACAGATTCACAGATGTATTATCTGGAAGTTTCCAAACAACATGATTTAAAACACTCATGATATTATATGATAACAATAAAACGAAAATGTACATCTAGTCACACAAGAAAACATTAATGAATTTAAACAAGATGCATAGGAATAAACATTTTCACAAATAAAATAAAGAATTGTTGTGCAGAAAATTTGTAAAACCTAACCAAATAAATGTTGCATTATAATAAAAGTGACTTTTGATTTGATATGAATTTTATTTTATACAATCTAATGGCTATTGTGTCATCCTTAGATTTAAATTTTCCAATTAGAATTGGAACAAGAAATATATAAGTGAAAATGTTTTGGTAAAAATATATTGCATCTCTTTAATTCAACATTTGTACATTTGTTTGTAGTTATACCATGTTTGTGATTATTAAATACATTGTGTAATAATAGAATTAAAAGCAAATAGGCTCTTTTTATCTATTACCATCTCGGTTGTATTAACAATTTAAGGCCATATTTTAAGCTTATAAAGTTCGGATGCAAAGGAAGCCCCCTAAGTTGATTTGTATCTGTTGAATATAGAAAATGTTAATTCATATGAATTCTTGTAATACCCAAATGAGCAATATCTATAACTCATTTTTTATTATACAATTTCAACACAGCCAACAATTGCAGGCTATTTGAAAAATAACCTACTCATAATATTAAATTTACAAAATATTTTTTACACATTTATTGTATTTTTATAAACAATTAAACGATTTCTTTGTGCTCCCTGCAATCAGAACAAATGAAAACATCAGGAATTTCGGACTTTTTGACTTTCGCGCACCTCAGATGGATCCATGTCAAACAGCTGCTGCATTCTATCATCGGGCGCCCAGCAAATGGTTTTTGACAAAAGCATGTCACAAGATCGTAAGAATCGTCGTCGGATGATTCGACAACAGAATTTTGCTGTTCGCCTGCGCTCGACTTGGAACTACTTTCAGAATCTTTCCTTTCACTTTGTTCGGATGTCTCGTGTAGTTCCTACAAAAGAAAGTACAACTAAATATTAAACTGTTCATTATTTACTAACCATGCATTTACTGTAATATATGAAAAAATGAACACCGATTTTGAGTAACTTGTTATTTCTCACATAATAATAATTTACAATTAATTAAGGTTTTTAGTTGAGATAAAAAAGTCAATGGCATGAGCGGGATTCGAACCCACGATCTTCGGCTTCGTGACTCTAACTTTTTCATCTCAACCAAGACCTTACATAAAAAGATTAATTAATTAATTGAAGTAAGTNCTCTACCACTTGAGCTATCGTGACCTCGATCCACTCGGACACTAACTTCCCATCTCAACCCCACCTTTTGAATTTTCCCTCCTTTTTGCCATTTTTCAACATAATAATAATGTTATTTAAGTTATCACTAATGTGAAGGAGTTGTAACATTAAATGTTTAAAACCACTAACAAACAAAACAGTATTTTCTTCTATTAACAACTAAGCTTCTTGGCAAAGTAGATTAAAATATGTTTTTAGCGAGAAACAAAATAGATTTATTTTTTGCAAACCCCCCCCCCCAACAAAACCTGATACAAATTTTTGGGAATATCAAAAATATTTTTTTTTCTTAAAATTTTTGCCTTCCACCAAATGTTTTTGATGATTTTTCCAATTATCACAAAAATGTTTATAACTTTAAAACAAACTTTTTGAATTAAAACAAATTTTATTTTGTTTGTCAAAAAATGAGTTTTTGACCTACTACTTGTCTTTTTTTTTCTTTTTTTTTTTTTGTAACTTTTTATATGTCTAATCTTATTTAATACAATCATGCTTATTATTTTCTTATCCTAGTTTAAAAAACAAGTCGACTGATTAATAACCTTGAAGTACGTGTACAACGAAGGCAGAAAATTATTACTAAAAAAAGGACTAAAACTACTAATGCTTTTTCTATGTTCCTAGAGCAAATTGGCAAGAACGTTCATACACTTGTCTAATATTTTTTCAACCTAGTATCACCAGCAAAAGTTTCATTAAAATCGGTGATCCCATGCCCATAGCCTCACCTTGTGAAGTACTTACAAAAATATTTATAATAGGGATACAATTAATTTTTGTCTTCTTAAAAGTTTAGAAAATTAGGAAACTGTTTAATGGGAAACAGTGAAAATGTGATGTTTTGGGCGAATAACAAGCTGTCGACGTTAAACAATATTCAACAAAAAACAACACTGACATGATAAATGCGTACATTACAGCCTATGATTGAAATTCACAAATGAAAATATAATTATTAGCAAATATATCGCTATAATGGTAACTAAAACACTTTAATCAAAGACAATACAAAGTACAGGATAATAATTATTTACAGATTATGAGGTGCGGTCTGGTGTGATGTAAGTTTAGAAAAACATTTTCTTTATCATGCCAATGTTTTGATCTTCATTGAGATCATCTACAGAGCTAGATCGTTGTCGGTCCCTTTCACCTCAAAGAAGTCGACTCCTCATGAAAAATGAATTCCTATACCTACCCCCGTCCCCACTCCTTCAAAATCAAACATATCTATAAAGACATTACAATCTCACTAACGACACACAACACTGACATGACAGAAAACACACACTTTGAGTGAGTATAAATACTTTGAATAAACCTAAAATTTATGTATTGTGTACATCATTGTATAAATTCATAATCATTTATTATATGTATTTGTATAATTTAAACGATGTTTATATATCCCAGGCCCTGAAAATGATCTCAATAAAGATCGAAATGTTGGCACGATAAAGAAAATGTTTTTCAAAATTTACACACACCAGACCGCATCTAACGACCTTTAAATAACAATTAATTAACAGTCACTAAATACTACACATTTGTACAGGATAATCATTAACAATATCTAGCAATCCAGCCATAATTAATTATGTCACAACAGAATTCTTGAAAATAAAAATTGAAAATACAAGCTTATATTATTAAAGCACTCAAAGAGAATAAACAGTAAAAGAAGATCATCAATGATACCTAATTCAGCCATAGAAATTTGAATGTATGTTTGATTTAAGCATAAAATGATAATAAAAGGACAAGACCATCAATGACAGTTATCAATCCAGCAAACAAAATGTCACAACCCTTAAACATGTAAAAACACAACTAATAATAAAACATAGCTAGAATTGAGCCCAAAGTCGTGGGTTTGAATCCCGCTCGTGACACTAATTTTTCATAGAAATGATGAATGGTGGAGTGAGTGCAGTGTTCAATCCTCTTTAAAAAGATAGTTCCTACTCACAGTGTTGTTTTTCAACGATCCGGATTTCTAGCTTTTTGCTCGTCATCAGGTAGAAGGAGTTCTACAACCATGTCTCTCGACTCGAATTGCAAAAGTAAATTTGCCAATACCCCCGCGCCAACGCGATGTTCCAATGAGTTACTATTTTTTCATTTCAACCAAAAACCTTAGATAAAACTGGAATAATTAATATGGTCAATTATGACCACTAAACAAATATGTATTAATTCATAGCTAAAATATAGGCAAGGATGATCATTAAAATCAAATTGCACAAAATGTTCAACGTCAATTAATGCTAATTTACATAACAAAAGATATAGCAAAATACCAATACATATTTAATCAAAAGATGAGTATGATCATTAATGACTCCTAGCAATCATAGTACTGCCAAAACACAATCCTTGAGAGCATGGAAAAACAATGAAAAGAACATTTTTACTTTAAAGCAATGAGAATAAACAGTACACGATGATCATCAATGACATCTAGCAATTCAGTCAGAGAAACTCCATAATTACATAATTAGTCAAATATGACAAACTTCAACAGATTGGATCTGCAATCCAGATAATGGTAGTCAAATATCACATCACACGAATATAAACCAATAAATACAAGCAAAATACCAACATATTTGATTAAAAGCAAAGTGAAGGTGACAGGACAGGAATAATCTATATATCGATACAATAATCATCAATGACATCTCACATCCAGGTAAGCATTACTTTGGATTCCTTGAACATGGAAAAATTTCAAAAACATGTTTGATTAAGGTGTACAATAATTCCGGATAAGACAGGACAATTATCAATCAAGTGGTAAATTACCAATAAATTTTCAATCAAAACATAAAACCGCATTCCTACCATATCCCCTGGATGGACTGATCCCTCCCCCAAAATGTTTATGTAACATTAATCGCACTTTGCCTAATATGAAATACATACAGTTATAAAAATAAAATAAAACAACAAGGATATAAAGATCAAGATCATCACCGATATCACAATGGATTGAATATGGCAAAATGCCAAAACCTATATGAGTGACAAAAAGCAACAATAGCAAATTTAGTATGTTCAACCTGCATGAAATGTGAATAACATCCAGCAAATGTAAATTCACGATCTACTGTAAATTATTTCCATAGGGGATATCTATTTTTTAATAATGCAATGAAAATTAAGCATTAATTAATTTATTTATTTTTTAATAATGACAGTGATTGTCCTTCGTTTTCAAATAAACTGAACTGATATAAACGACTGATTTGCTATGATTCAACAGGTAAATATGCAAATGAGTTGAAAAATAAAAAAATTCCTCTGGTTCCCAGCTGATATAATACAATTTTAACAATATCTAGCTGTTGATTTTTTAAATAATCGAGGGTTATTTTAAATAAACATAAATAAAGTTATGTTTTTCATCTACAGAAACTTGTTTGTTTTTCCACCACCACTCGGTAATGGGATTTTGTCTGTTTATTAGAAGGGCTCACATATAGAAAAATTATTTGTGAATAAAAAATAAATTGAATTCAAAGGAAGCGTAAGTGCACACACAATAATTTTCTCTTTCTCATGGACTCACATGACTTTGACCTTTTCTATGATAGAAATAATATTTTAGATCACACTCATCTCTTAACAGGTTTGCCATTCTCACAACACAGAACTAAGAACTGATCAGGAGGCTTGGGTTGTGGGGTGTAGGAATTCCAGAAACAATACTTTAAGTAACATGAAGAGTCATATGTCATACATGGAATACTCAGTTTTTTCTTTCTACTGTCTGCTTACAAGAGAATTTTTCATTAAAAAATCTATACATATTGTGACCTTGTCAGTTTATTGACAATAATTTTCTTAGTGGAATAAATAATGCCTGGGAAAATGATATAGTCAAGTCATGAGGGATATCTGATTATTATAAGTGTCCATTTGGGGAAGTTCGGCTGTATATGGCCAAAACATTTAGGATCAAAATGTACGTGATCAACGATGATCAAAAGGTGCATACCGATTTTCAAAATTGCTAAATCTAAAAGGGTTCACAATTTAATTTTCACTAGTTTAATTTATAAATATCCTTTAACTTCCCATAGAACTTCCCATAAGTGGACACCACTTGGGAATTCGTCATTATTAGAAGGTTCCACACATAGAAAACTCATTACATACATTAAGTGTAAGTAAAAAATAAATGGATTTGAACAAACAAAATGCATATACACAGAAACTAATTTTTCTCTTCTTCCTAGACTTGTACAACTTTGACCTTATATCTGATAGAAAGAATCTTTTTTTTCTCATCCATGAACTAGTATGTCACAATCAGCACATAAGAGTCATTACTCATTCATGGAATCCTGAGCTGTTTTGCATTCTATTGTCCGCTTATAAGACTTTTTCAATTAAAAATAAATTAATGTGGTGTCCATTTATTAGGAGTACTCATTATAGAAAAGTAAATGAAATAACAACGGAGAAAATAACATTGTCCCATCATGAGGAATGATGATTCAATGATTGATAATCAAAAGATGCATCCAGGTGCTCAACATTATTAAAGTAAAAAAGGGTTAAAATTATAGTTAGTAAAAGAAGTCTGTAAACACTCCTATTTTTTTTATTTTTTTATTATTTTTTTTAATAAAAAGAAATGATTTATCATTTATTATAACCCTTTTTAAAAATGCTGAGATAAAATAGCCATTTGATTACGCAAAATAAGTTTGAATACACCTTTGGTTTTATTCTTTGGGTTTTTAATAATCGAGGGTTATTTTAAATAAACGAAGTTAATTTTTACGTCTATAGAAACTATATATAAGGCCCTGTATGGATGGGTTAGGGTTGAATTGGACAGAAAATAACTCGAATTTATGATTTGTATGATTTAAAAAGAAAAAAGAAAAAAACATGCTTACCTCCTCTTTGGTCTCGTCGTAATTTTCGTATTCCAGAATAAATTTGCAGAAGAGATAAAAATCCTCCGATGTCCTAGGCTTTTTTGGAGTGGATTCTGAACCTACCTAAAATTGAGTAAGAGAAAAAGAAAGAAAAAAAATGAAACACTCGTGAATATCACAACACAAGGGATAAAAAACAAACAAGCACATATTAAACCAGGATTCACGTCCAAACAGGACAGTTTACAAATCAAACAGACGATAAAGAAAAGGAGAATAATTAGATCTCCGCCCTTTACAATTACTTGTAGAGGAAACCGTGTTGGAAGTCGCTTATCAAAAAAGTATTAATTATAAAAAAAATATTACAGAATTAAAATTGTAAATTGACTAACCTCTTCTTCCTTTAATTGTGACGATTTTCTCGATTCTGAAATAATTTAAACTTGACATAAGACATAATGCATTTAAAATAAGTGATGACATAAAACATTGTTATTTATAATCAAAATCAAACCGAATCATCGACTGACAATTAATAAACGTAAAAGAAACGTTCTAACAGATGGGAAAAAATGTTTTCAGAAGATGCGGGTTATTTATTTTTTACAATTTTCTTTCCAGGCCATTTTAAGCCGATAATAAAGCAAGGGCCTGAAAGGAAAAATTCCAAAATGGATCGATTTCCGAGAAGAAAATATGAAAAAGTACGAGAGGAAACAAGACTAAAATCCTGTTAAAAAGGGTACTAAAAAAAGAAAATCTATCTAACCTATGATGGGATGGAATGGTTGATTTATCTAAAGAAAAACTGCCCATTAATTTATAAAGAAAAGACAATAGGAGTTAATTACCTTTGAGAATATCGTCAGTCATGACTGAAATTTGGTTTAGTGGAAAAGAGAAAAAAAAAAGTAAACTAGAAACAATTCAAAGCGTTGTGGGAGAAATAGACTTTAAAACAGCTTTATAGCATATTTCGGGGGTCGTCTTCATTTTCAACAGATTCAACGGAAAATCGGTGAAATCGTGCAAACGATTTTGAACATGTTGAAGGAATTATTTTGAGAAAACCCTAAGACGAGAACGGAGACCCTAGTCAAACTATGTGGTAACTTAGCGGCGTTCAGTTGTCTACTGTCCAAATCAGTCCCGCCAACAACGCAACATCAAATTTCTCTCACATCCATCAAACTCAGATTCATTTAAGGCCTGATTGAAATTCATTTTTATTAAAATAATTATTATTACAATCCTATTAAATAAAAATCTTATCAACAAGGAAAAAAAAGAAGTTATAAATTGTCAGGCCTTACATTTCTCTTTAACGGACCCAAAAGAATAAAATGACAAACAACCAAATTTCTCTTTAAGTTCCCTCATGAAATTTATCTATTATATTACATTATTCAGTTTAAAAAAATAACAAATTATAATGATGCTTGGATCATAAACATGCTAATGACTTTAGAATAATAAAACCTTTAGATAATTCTTACAGTTTAATGCAATTTGAAAATGAGCATTTTTACACCCAACAATATAAAATGGAAGGGCTTCCTAAATATAAAAGAAATCATTTTTCCCCTTTTTTACAGATAGATAGTTAAATAATTTTAATAATAATAAATTGCAGTCAAGCCATTTAAATTTTTTAACAGACCCAAGAGAATAACATGACAAACAAGCAAATTCCTCTTTAATAAAGTTCCCTCATGGAATTTCCTTCAGATCGGCTGAATTAAATTAAACTTACTAAAAACACATGATAACAATATGATGATTATAAGGATATCATTGAGCATCCCTCCAGACCATTGTATTTTTTTGTCAATCGCATATCAAACTATATCTATCTGAACACATTTAGCTTAAAATAATTACAAAACTTAAATTATAATTATGCTTGGATCATAAACATGCTAAGGACTTTAGAATAATGAAGATTAATAATAATTCTGACAGTTTAAAGTAATTTGAAAATGAGCATTTTTTCACCCACCAATGGAAAATGGAAAAGCTCCCTAAATATAAAAGAAATCCAAACAATTCCATGCCTTCATCACTACAACATTTTTTATAATCAAATAACATTTATTTTCTTTGTTTTCACTTCAATCAGTCGTAGTAGTATTTTTGTTTATATCTGTAAAGATCTAAACAGATTTGATTATATGCAATGCAAAACGGAAGGCCATTCCAAATACAAAAGAAATCCATCCATTCCAAAAAACTTAAATTGTAATCACGCTTGGATCATAAACATGCTAAAGACTTTAGAATAATGAATATTAATAATAATTCTGACAGTTTAATGCAGTTTGAAAAAGAGCATTTTTACACTCAGCAATGGAAAATGGAAGGGCTCCCTAAATATAAAAGAAATCCAAATTTTTCCACACCTTCAACACTAAAACGATTTTTTAAATCAAATAACATTTATTTTCTTTGTTTTCACTTCTATTAGTCATAGTAGTATTTTTTGTCTATTTTCTATAAAAATCTGCATAAATAACTTTAAAATGTATACTACTAACTCATTTTTTAGTAATTTTTTTAACAAACCCGAAAGAATAAAATTACAACCAAGAAAATTCCTCTTTAATAAAGTTCCCTCATGAAATTTATGTGTTATATTATATTTGTCTATTCATTTTAAAATAATTACAAAACTTAAATTGGATCCATTGGAAAGAAATCCATTTTTCCCCTTTTTTACAGATAGATAATTAAATAATTTTGATAATAATAAATTGCGAAAGTCAAGCCATTTAATTTTACTAACAAACCCAAGAGAATAACATAACAAACAAGTAAATTCCTCTTTAATAAAGTTCCCTCATGGAATTTTCTTTCAGAATGGCTGAATTAAATTANGCATCCCTCCAGACCATTGTATTTTTTTGTCAATCGCATATCAAACTATATCTATCTGAACACATTTAGCTTAAAATAATTACAAAACTTAAATTGTAATCATGCTTGGATCATAAGCATGTTAATGGATTTAGAATAATGAAGACAAATAATTATACTGACATTTTAACAATATATTTTCTTTGTTTCCATTTCCATCAGTAGTAGTAGTATTTTTGGCTATTTTTTAAAAGATCTTTATAAATAACATTGAAGTTTATACTAATAACTCTTTTTTTACTATTTTTTTAATCACTTTGTTTAATCACGATAATCAAATATATTTTGTATCTGAGCTTATTTGATTAAAAAAAAAAAAATATGATACATAAATGGTTTAACATACTGTAATAACTTTAGAATCGCAAAGATTATCATTACAACACATTCACACAATTTTAAAGAGACCTTTTTTACATGAGGCAATGCCAATGGAACACCATTCTAAATACAATACATAAAAGAAATCCATCTTTTCCCCTCCACTTCAGATAGATAGATAAACATTTTTATCTACAACAAAAGAACAAAGTCTACAACAAAAAAGAAATTTATGAGTATACATAAGCATGGATGAAAACCGTCTGCACATCCAATACACTCTGTATACAGAATTTTAAATCATATATTTATTATTTGTATTTATTTACGGATCGAAATCCACTATAAAAAAAGAACTTTACNAAATAATTTATAGGTTTTAAGAGAGTGCGAAGGGCATGTAGCTGTAGTTGAGAGAGGAGAGAAGGACTATCAATGAGATTGTTTAATAATTTAAATAAAAAAACAATATCAAAGTAATCCCTTCTTAGTGCCAGTTCGAAAAGTTTAAATTCAAAGCGGATTCCAGGGTAGGCAGAATTCGGAGGAAGATTGAGATTGTAGGAAAGTTTTTTTAAAAACTTGTTTTGTACAGATTGAAGAATTTTTTGTTAATTTAGATAGAATGGGTTCCAAACAGGTGTAGCATATTCTAGTATGGGTTGTAAAAAGCTTTATAAAGATGGACAAAACAGAGAGGATTTTTAAATTCATAGGTGTTCTGGATGATGAAACATATATCAACTATATGTACCTGAGATTATTCAGTTTAAAAGTATTATAAAGCTTAAATTATAAGCAAGCCGAATAACATTAGAATATTTCTGATATGGTAATACAATTTCCAAGAGACCATTTTCACACCTGCCCAACAATGGGAAATAATAGAGTATCACAAATATAAAATAAATCCAATTTTTTCCACATCCTCCAGGTTATAATACTTTTTTTAAATTTTTTTTTTTTTTTTTTTTAAATCAAACGACAAACCTATTTTCTATTTGAGTTCAATTGGTTAAAAAGGATTATGACAAATAAACAATTGACATGCTGTAATTATTTTAGAAATATAAAAAACTAATTATTGTGGCATTGAGAAATGGAAGGGCTTCTGAAATATAAGATAAATCCTTCTTTTTCCACACCCTCCAAACCATAATACATTTTTTCAATATAACACATGTATTTTCTTTGTATTATCTTCAACCAGTAGCAGCTAGCCTTTTATGCCTATATTCCACCAAGTAACATATAATTTTGTCCTACTAATTTTTTTTAAATCACTGTTTAATCATGTAACATAAACCTATTTTCTATCTAAACTCATTTGACTAAAAAGGGTTATGACAAATAAATTATTAGCATCCTGTAATTGAATTTATATAGGCTCAAATCCACACATGCACATACCAACATACAAACATGTACTAGTTGAGCGTGAAAAATGCTTATAAATCCAAATCGAATTATATCTATTTGAGCTTGTCAGTTTAAAAGTACATACTAAAAAATTTAAATTATTAAAAATCGTGTAATAATTATGGAAAAATGAAGTCTAATAATGCTGACATTTTCAAGAAATTTGGAAGATACTGTTTTCACATCCAGCTTGCAATGGGAAATGAAAAAGCATTCCAAATATAAATTCATCTTTCTACTGAGCGAGAATCTCTGAGAGCCCATTCTGTTTAAAGTTATAGCACCAATTGGTTACAACAGATACAACAATCCATGTGTGTATTTAGTAGTCATAATTGACCTATTAATTATTTAAGTTAGTTATACTTTTAATCTAAGGTCTTGGTTAAAATGAAAAAGCAAGTTTCATAAGCGGGATTTGAAAGGTTCGAATCCAACTTGTAACACTTGCTTTTTCATCTCAAGACCTTAGATTAAAAGTATAATTAATTAAAATACAACAATACTGACAGATCTTTAACAAGATCAAGCTTTAGTAAAACACAATTGCTGGATGCCCAAAAAACTTAATAAAGGCTAAACGTTTAAATGCATAGACAAAATTTTAAGGTGGGCTTTTAGTCTCAGGCCTTAACTTAAAATCACTAACATTTTTCCCCAGCAGTTTGATAATTTCCAATCATTTTTGGTCTGCCTGTCCTTGCTGGTTTGGTCATTGGCTTGGCTGTTTGTGCATGTTATTTTTCACATTTTACACCCACCACTAATGAAAGCAAAAAGCTGAGACGTGTCTGAAAGACCAAAATTGTGAGAATAGGTAAACTTAAAAATCACACTTCTTTTCTCAAGAAGTGTGCAACTTAGTTAATTACTAATTACTGCCAACATCTTTTGCATCATATTATATCAGAGATGCAGTAACTGACATAAGCAAAAAAAAATTTGCATTAACACACTCAAACACTCTCAACACGACACACAATAATGACACATCTACACAGAAAACACTTTGAGTGAGTACAAATACTTTGATACTACTACTACTTGATTGAGTCTAAAACTTCTATCGTACAAATTTTTTTCACACCGTACATGTATTTGTATAATTTAAACAATGTTTATAAATACCAGGCCCTGACGATGATCTCAATAAAGGTCGAAATGTTGGTATGATAAAGAAAATGTTTTTCTAAACCTACGTCACACCAGACTGCATCTCAAGATCTTCGTATCATCAGCAAAATATTAAGGTGAACTATCTTTTTGTGTCCTGGGCATTAATTAAATATTGCTAGACTTTTTCTCATGTAGTTTGTTTATTGCAGATAATTCTTTATCTGACCTTTCTAAAACAAAAACAAAAAAAATGTGTTTTTTGTGCTCTTATTACTTACATAAGCGACAAAGAAAGCAGTTTTACATTACTTTTTACAACATTTTTCTTCTGTCTCCTTACAAGGAGGTGCATTTGGAGCCAATTAGTTTGAATATTTTCAAATTCCCTCGAGAACTATCTTGTTCCGTGGTAATGCTCCAATTTCGATTTGATGGCGTCATTCATGTTATGGCGGTTAAGTCGATAACCGGCGGCTGTTATCATGGAATCATATGTTTTTTGTCGTGCCGTGCATCGAAATCAGTCCAGACTCCAGTGATTAGACGTTCGAGCTGGGGTTAAACCGTAAAATAACAAAGATGGCCTCTACTTCAAACCTCCCAGTTTTTATTACTGTTGATAATTATGTTCAAAATCCGGGAAGCAATTGATGATTCATTTAAATACAGCTCTTCAAAATGTTGCCATCCAAAGGGTATTTCTTGTCGATCAATTGCCCGTACTACGAATCCGGCGAATGTGAAAGGCCCCACTGCCACTTCAAGCATTGCAAAATACGTAAGAATTTTCTTATTAAAAAAACAAAAAAAAAACCAGATAATATATTAGCTATTGAATGAAGCCTTTTCGCTCCTTCACCGGGGAGATTTCCAGTTCGAAACGAGGAAATCCCCCGTTTGCAGGAGCTCAAAAAGACTCGATCGTCCCTTGTTGTCAGCAGAAAACCGACCTCTCAGAAGAGGTTGGCGTTCGATCTGGCCCGGCTACGACGCCGGAAATTCTCAAGGGAATTTCCAGATTTTATGAAAATCCAAATGCCAATTGGAATTTTTATTTCTAAAAAATAATAAATAAGTAAAAATATCCGAAGAAATAGTCTAGTTTAAGCATTTTCTAATCAGTTCGTCCCGTCATTAATTTACTCGGTGATTCATGGTTCTTCTAAACGCCATTAATTTTTCCACCAAATTGCCAGTTTTCATCTAATTTTACGTCCGTTGCTAATGAGAAATGTAAAAAAACATGACATAAACCAATTTTAGATTGAGTAGCTTCAGATTTATCATGGAAGTAATAAGAGCCATAAAAATACAGATTTTCTTTGTGTGCTTATGGAAATCATTGACGATCATATACACGATACAAAAGATTCTGGCGCTAGTCAATTAGAAAAAAATTGGGAATTCTTTTCGGTTTGTCTGTTCCCACCCTATCGGACCATTAATCGCATTTCAGCTTTTTGCATCGTTATTTAAAATGACTCATAATAACTCGTAATGATATAAATAACTCGCTGTACTAATGCTTCATCTTGTTAGTGATCTGTCAATAACAAGACAGCGATTTTTTTTTGAATAATGGAGTAGCTTTTGATTTATCATGGAAGTAATAAGACCCTTAAAAATATAAATTTTCTTCTTGTATTTGTGGAAATCATCGAGGATCACATACACGATGCAAAAGATTCCGGCACTGGTTAACTATTTGAGGAAAATTGGGCATTTTTTTCGGTTTGCCTGTTCTCAGTCTTTCGGCCTATCAATCGCATTTCAACTTTTTGCCATCGTTAGTGGGTGGGTTTAAAATGTGATGAAAAAACATAACTCGAACAGCCAAGAAACAAAATGGTTTGTTCTAACCAGTAAGGATAGGCAGAACAAAAATGATCAGGAATGAACGAACTACATGAGACATAACATGCACAGTCAAGAGCCTGAACCTAGCTGTCAATGACATGCCAAACCAGTGAGGGAAGGACGTAAGACGATATGATGCTCTCCCCAATTGATTTGCCGTAGTTTGGTGTGTTTCATTACTACGGTCAGTCTTCGATACAGAATAATTAAGTCATAATCTGCCAGATTTACTGTAGCTTCTTAAAATGAAAACTGATACAAGAGACGTCAAAAACCCTGTAATTATGGGATTGGATATTACATCCCAACTCATATTCATGTTTGGTTTGTGGGTGATGAACCTGTTATTTGAAATTGTTATTTTAGTCTGCCTAGCCTCGCTGGGTTAATCTACAACAAGCAACATTAGAGCTTAAATGTTGTAAAAATTCTGTACTTAAATATTAAATTTTAAAGATGATTTTCTGTCAAATCTCAAAACAATTATTTTACCTTTGCATGCATTAATTGAACCTCTTTCCTTCTTCCAACGTTTAGGGAAGATAAAGTGGCATAAATAATAAAATTTATTTATATTTATTTCAGCAAAAGACAAAGAAGAAGAAAATTTAAGGAAAACATTGTCAAATTTGCAAGTTGAATTAAATGAAAATGGTGCTCATAACAAAGAAAATAAAGAAAATCCCAAAACTCAGCCCAACGTCGATGCAAAAGTTAATCAAAGCACAGTGCTTTCTAATCTGCCAGAAATTACTAAGGGAATTGACGTAGCAAACACTGGTGGCACTAGATCTGATTTTTACAAACGACATATACCAGTCGTGTATGCCCCAGCCAAGCCTACAACTACATTCCGAAAAGAATTATCCAATAATTCTAGATGTAATAAATATATACCAGTTGTCCCTGAAAATTGCCCTAAGCCATTGAATTTTGACTACAAACCATCGACAAATAAGACAAATGCTGATTCTGAATACCAACCTCAAAGTTTAAGCAGCAACAATTGCACAGTTTCTTATACACCTAGCCAGAGCAATAAAACCAACTTAGATGCACCTGTTGATAGTCTGAGCATGCTTGATTCTGAAGAAGAAAGCATAATAAATAATGATTTGGACCAAGATGAAAGTTTAGAGTGTGAGAGTGGTGTCGTTGATTCGACAGTTACTGATGAACGAAATGTTAATGGATCGGAAGAAGATAATGCTGATAAGACTATATTGTACAACCACTCAAGTAAACACTTAAAAAATTCTACTAATGAAGAAAGTAAAATTGTTACAAAAAGAAAAGAAAACAAAAGTAGCAAACATGCTAAAGATAGAAAAGAAACCTCGGACCATAAAGAAGATTCAAAAAGGAGAAAATGTAACAGTGAAGAGGAGAAAGATAAACATACCGAGAAGACTTGTAATGTTAAAGGAAGCAAAGATGCAAAAGAAAAGAAAACAGACAGTAATGACTCAAAGAACCAAGATAGTATGAACAATGAGTCGAAAAATGCTAAAACCAAAGAAAAGAAAGAATGTACAAAGCATGATAAGAGTCATAGTAGGGTAAAGGATGAAAGTAAAATTTCGCATAAAAGTTCTCACAAGTCAAAGAGTAAATCGGAATCATCTCACTCTCACAAAGAAGAAAGAGCTAAAAGCGATTCGCACTCATTGAAATCCTCATCATCATCTAGTAAGTGTAGTGACAACAAAAAGAAATCTAGTTCAAAACATGATAAGTCACATAAAGCCAGTAGTAGTAAACACAAAGAAAGCAGTTCTTCGAATAGCAGTTCAAGCAAACATAAATCATCGCACAGCTCAAAGCTATTTGAACAACCAAATAAACATAAAGTGGAAAAAACAAAGAAGAAACACTCATCTGATAAAAAAGATGAATCCAAACCACATAAGAGATCTCACTCTTCATCAAATGGGAAAGATGAAGAACAGCACTTTGAGAAAAGTAAGTCCTCTTGGTTATATGTGGTGTTTCTTTTAATGTGTTAGTTAAAAACCAATAATTTTTTGATTTTTTAGAACCAAAATGGGAAATAGAATCAGCAAGTTCTTCAGATGTAGAAAGCGTTGCTTGGGAACCCAACGATATTATAATCTCCGATTCATCTGATGATGAGCAACTTGCTTCCAAAAATGAGCCTGTGGTAAGTTATCTTCTTAAGATAATGTAAGATTTCTCCATGTTGTCTGCAGGATGATGAATATGAATCGTTATCGGTCAATTTGGTCTTTCTATCCTCATTGGGTTGGTCTGTCAGACATGTTTCGACATTTCGCCATCTTCATTATTGGGTCTGATGTGTGTGAAGTTCCTTTATAAGATCATTCCGGAAATCACAAACACACTGAAGATGGCGAAATGCTGAAACACATGTGCAGCCCAATCCAGCATGGATAGGAAGATAAAAATGATCAATAATGACCAAATTTAAATTGTTTTGCCTGAAAGGGTAAATGACGATTCATGTTATCTCAGTTAAGTGAAATATTGAGTTTATGACAGCAATAATTTGGCTTCCATGTAGTTTTATTGCACAAGCGCTATATTGTCCTTCCTGAAGGACTTGTCCTTCATTTAAGCCCTATGTTTTTATATTAGGATTGGACCTCTGGAACTTTTTGTGGGCTTTAATCCTTCCTTTTCCCTAGCATGATTGTATGAACTTCTTCAACATTTGCACTTGACTTCCATGTAATCTAATCTGGGTGTTTTATGAGAATTTATTTTGGTAAGGTCAAAAACCCAGTGGGGTGTTCACTTAAGATACTGTTAAGTGTAAATAGATAGAGTTAACCATTCATCCTTCTCTTCGCCATGGTTCACTTCCACCTTGAATTGGTGGTTATTTTAAGAAGGGAGAAGGGCGTACAGTAAGGGTTAGCCACACAAAACTAAGCATATTCCTCGGTGCCTCTTTGCGCACTTCTCTTGGTGTTAGAATTGTCTTATCAAAATGACTATACCATATCCGGGCTAGTGCATCAAATTCACAAAGGATATATGCCGATGTCTCTGGTTTCTACTGACAGAGTCGGCATGTTTATATCATTGCTGTATCCATTTTCTGTGATAATTAAGAGGACAGTGGCTGGTATAAAGGCCTATAATTTTCCTCAAATCTTGCCTGCCGTAAGAGGCGTTCATTTGTGAAAGATTTATGGATCTCATACATGGTGTTTTTGCCCAGTGCATGAGTTTTTCTTTCCCAAGCCATTTGTCCTGCTCCAACTGTTAACACTCTTGCGCCTACTTGTGGTTCTAGTCACACGGGTGAAAAAGCATCCCCTTCTTTGGCTAGTTGGTCAGCCTGTTTGTCTACTTCGTGTCCCAGAACCAATCTTAAGATAACCTTTCGTTTTTCTAGAGCCATGAGGTAATTCAGGCATTCCCAGACTTGTTTGGTGCTAAGAGCTGCATTTAGTGCCTTTGCAGCAGCCTGACTGTCTGAAAGTACGGAATTCTGTGCATCTTTCATATTCTTTATCAACAGAGCTGGATTGCATGGACTTCCGCATTCCAAGGGGTTTTACTCGGGTGTAATACAACCAATTTACCCCTACACCTACCCCCATTTCTATCTTTGATCCATCAGGGTATCATATTAAGGCCTTTTCCTGTAACTTGGGTAGTAAATATTATTATTTTAAAACATTTAAAAATGATATCTTCATTCTATTTTATTGAAATTTTCCCTTTAGATTAAATGGATTATTCATTACATTTCTGATCAATGTATTATCACTGTTAATACTTGGTAAATCATCAATTTTCCGTACCGACCAGCCCCCACTTTTTCATTTTTTTTTTTTTTAAACTTTCTTTTCAAGCCTGCATAAATGTATTTAACACTGGAATGACATTGCTGAATGTCTAACTGAAAGAAGAAAATAAGAAATCAGGAATAAGCAATGTTAATGTGATGCTATTGTGCAAAATTTAATATCTTAGGTTGTATGGTTTGCTAAGTTCCGTATTTCAATATTCTTTATTTCTTCTCAAATATATATTAACAGTTACATTATATTGTTTTGTTATTAGGTAAATGAACCTTCAAAACTCAATAAGAAAACAACCAGTAGAACTCCAGACTATTCAACTGTAAGTATTTTCAAGTTTTATTTCAAATTGTCAAAATCAAATCAGTGTTTTAGAATTAGTTCAGTAATTATTAAAAATCTAGTGACATAGATTTCAAAACTTAATTAATTAAACTAGGGCATGATAGGTCGACAGTTACAACAGTTCTGTTATTATTGTTTTGTGTTAGTAGTGATGTAATATTCTTATTATTTTTGCATGTAAATATGTCCTTTTCAATTAGTTATCTTTTTAAAAAATTTCATTTGTTTTTAATTTTAAAGACTCAATACAATTATAATTTGACATGAATTTAGAACACGCCCAACACACATATGCCACAATATAGTGATAACATTACCAATTTAAGAAATGACAGTGTCTGTTTTATAGACTTGGTGCATCACGTAGAATGCAATTTAATTTAACTGGTGACTAGAGAATTTTTTGTAATGATGTTGTTTACATTTTAATGTAGGTCATTGATGCTTTTTCCTTCAATCCACATTGTTGTCTGGAGAACAATCACTCTCATTATCAGTTGACGATCCCCATTTTCTCGATGTGCATCTTTTTCTTGCCTCCTTACTAGGTTTGAGGATTGTTTGATCTTCAATTGATGAAAAGTTAATAAATAACAAATAAAATATTAAAAATTAGTTGTTTGCCATGATGATGATGAAATTTTAATTTTTAAATTTTTTTATTATTTAATAATTTTAATATTTTTAATATTCTAGGGATACTAGAAATGTGGTATTCCCCATGCCAGTTATTTAGTTCAGTTCAATTGACTTGATTCTTCTTTTAAGTAATAGTAGTTCATTGACTGTCATTGATACAATTAATTTTCCCCGAGTGGTCCTAGTCTCGTAGGTTGTTTGCATTCAAAATATGGGTGGCGGTTTCTTTCTCCTCATTGCTTGCCATTTTTAAACCAATCCATGTCATGTAGGTGTTTTCTCAGATGCCAATAAGCACAAAACTGCATTCTTTCACAATAATTGGACAAGAATTATGACCTGACGTGTCATCTCAAGTGTGCGTTTCATGAAAGGCAATACTCTACAAAGAGTCCAACCTAAAGATTTTTTTGGTCTAATTAAATGTAGACAAATCATATAAGGAAATAACAAAACTTTAAATATATCAGATGAATGAAAGGCTAAAAACCAACTAGCTATTGTAATGACAATGGGATCAATTCATATCGATCAGTTAGTCATCCACCATAAGGAATACAGTATTTGTCAGTTGATTTATATGACCATACCCTTGAGAAATTCAGTTGTAAATTATAGAAGTGATCGTTGGAAAGATAATTGAAGCATATGTTGTGATCAAATTTTGAAAAGTTAATTTCATAGGCAAACTTTTAAATGAACCTAATTCCTTTGTGGTTTATGGCCAGGTCTCGAGGCTGCGTCTTTAGCGTCAACAGAAGCTAGACTTGATTAGGTGGTTTTTGATTCCTAGGAGGGTCTACTGTCTGATGATAAATTTGCCATGCTGCGCAGGCTGGATGGGTTTGTGAGGAGGTAGACATTTCATCTCCTACAATCCATACTGAACTGCCTCATCTATGCAAGTGGCAAAGACAGAGGACTAGGAGTTGTACAGATGGCGCATGGTCCTCATGTTGCATCTGCGGGTAGGCTTGGCTCTACCAACCCATTGATTAAGTGGCTGTATGAAGCCAACCAGGTAGGGAGAGGCATACTTAAGTAATGTCACCAACTGCCTTGGTTGGTGGAGTGGCCCACAATCTATGCAGAACTGTGTGGGCTAGCACAGACTTTATACGGGTTATAAGCTATACTATAAACAGACGCTGAAGAATTGGGCGGCCTTGAGTGTGACACGGGTCACAGGATGAAGATATTCACTGGCAATACAGTGGGCGACCATTGGCTCCATAAGAGATCTCTGATCCATCAGAAGGCAAGATTAGAGGAAAAGTAAGGCCTTTATACTTCTGCCCACACTTCCTTCTCCATTTAGCATGCTTTGGGATGTGTCAAACATAGTATTTCAAAGCAGATATTCCCATATTTAAATATTAATGATTTTTGACAAACTATACATTTGAGGAGTGTCAGCAACATATGTAAATGTAATGTTCTTATGTTAAAGCATGGCCATAGCAAAGTGTTAAAGGTCAATGCCTGCAATCAGTAAAAAAGTATTTTTCCTCAAAATCCTTCAAATTTGTCCAGATAGAAAGATAGCAACAACTGAATTTTTTAACAAAGCCAGTCAGTTATTTCGTCATAGTCATTCGTACGGCACTACGTATCTCTTATTTATTATCGGTGGAGGAGAATTCCTCGCCGTTTTCTTCTAAATAAAAAGAACAGCCAAAATTTTTGAAACGGTTGAATATTTGAAGACACCAGAAGCTATCGTCAGACGAAAACGACCGCGCTGCATTTGCAGCATCTGTCAGATGCTTCATAAGAATACCCCCAAGATTGGTGAACTTCATAAATCAATTTTTAATTTTTTATTAAGTAGTATGATCGAGCTGGCGATATACCCGGGCTTTCCAGGAGGACCGGATATTTATAATTTGGAAGCGTGTTTCATCACTAAATGTTCCAAGTTGTCAATAATATATGTAGATGGCGCGGACATCAACCCCTGAAATCCTGTACTTTGCCGCCTATAAACATTAATAAGACACAAAATAAGTGGTATTATTCGAGAGAGTTAACTAGTTTATGTACGTGCACCTTAGAACGCCTTGGCCAAGTCAAAAAAATCTCCGAGATGGATAGGGATCTACGTCGTACGATATTTTAGCGTGATAGCCATCTCCAAGGGAAAAGGTGCTGTGCTTGTAACTTCGTTCCGCCTTAGACTTGAACCTTCCGTCGGCCATTTTGTGCCAGATCTGAACTTTAAAAGACACGTTCGCAACCCATCGGCATTTGCTGGAGGTGGTTAGGGTTGCTGCATGAATTTGAAACTTCCAGCCAGCCAATTGGAATCCGAACAGAACCAAAAGTGGGATAGATTCAATTATTCCGACAAAATAACGATGAGATTTCTGATATGGCTGAGAAGCCACCATGCTGGTGACACATGGACATGTGCTTTTGGATCCCAAAGACGCTACGTTTTATAGAGAAAGGTCATTTTTATTGTTTACATTAATCCATATATGTCTAGCAGTCATAATTGACCGTATTAACTATTTCAATTAACCAAGACCTTAGATAAAAAGTATAATTTATTGCTCACTTTGTCACGGAAATTCTTGGTCGCTTTTAACTTTTTGATCGGTACCACCTTAAAGGATGTTTTGTTCTATCATTTAACCCACCAGGTCTGCTATTTTTCCTTTCTACTAGCTATTCTTTCATTTTTTTCTTTGGTTAATAGCTAAATGTTATATGTGTAGTTTTGCACCTGTTGAGTCGAAGAGAAGTCGTGTTCAACAACCGAACTGTGAAAATTGTTGTTTTTGTTATTGCCTGAATACAACTTAAAAGTTTTAACTCCTATGGTTCTCGTTATGTCTGAAAATTGTGATTTCATTAAATGTGCTGGCAAATCTCAAGATGTAAAAAAAATGTCAAAAGTAAATAATTTAAATAATTAATTTGTTATTGTCTTTCTCTGTTAAATGTCACTAAATAGTTTGCTTTGTAGTTCTAACATAAGTAGACTTTGTGAATCATGATTATTTCAAGTTAAAAAATTACTCAAATTTAAATTGCAGGTACTTTATGAACGGTGGATGAAAGCACGAGAAACAATTAAGAAAAATCCACAAGGTAAACAAATTTTTTCTTTTATACAACAATTGAAGGAAAAAAAGCATTATCAAGTTGAAGTGTAAAATATGACTATGAAGCTAGATTGTAATAATCACACCTTTAAAATATTAGATCATTTTAAAATTCTTACTCTATTACTTATATTGATAAATTTTTAGGAAGGATGAGAATTGCCCACGTTCCTAATGTTTCATCACTATTAACTGCCAAAGATAGAATATTATCAATAAGTAGTCAACAAAAAAGTATGCCTGAACAGCCTCCGTCAAACCCAGTGGAAGTGTGTGAGCCTAAAATAGTAAAGAGAGTAGCACATGTTCCAAGAGTATGTACAATTCTTTAATTTTATTTTAGCTATACATAAATATTTGGTTTGAAAATAAAATTGGGACAGGGTGTCGGTAAAGGCATTGACGCAATCACTATAAAGTAAAGGTCCTGGGTTTGAATCCACCGGCCCTGAATTCAAATCTGACATACTCACAAATGGGCTTTGTTCAAAAACCGACACCCCAAGGAGTGATATAATCTCTGTTAGTAAAAAATTATACAAATGGGTGTCATATTAAACTTAATCATTTCAATTATTTTAATAATTATCACTTCAATGTATCAATGTATCCGTCATAAAATAAAATATTCAACCGCCTTCAACAAAAGATTTTTTTTCTAGCTTCAATATCTAAATTTGATTATATAAATGATTTCAATCAATTTTGCTTACACTTTTCATGAATGGTAAAACTGACCTTGCCTATTCTGAATTCCCTATTTGGCTAAAAAAAGGAATAACTATTGATTCTTGAGTGAGTGTTTTTTCTTGAAAAATTTAGAATATAATAGCAGTATACTATAGCATGCAAGCAAAATACTGAGCTTCACCGCTGGATTGTTATTTGTTCACACCTAATTTAAAAATTAAACAAAAACTTAGTTGTGAGGTACGCTGTTGACAAATTTAAAGTATTCAAGTTGAGTAGAAGTTTGTCTGGAACTCTCATAATTTGCTGAAATCGTATGGAAAGCTATTTTCTGACTGTCCATGTTAATCTGCTATCCTTTCTCAATTTTATCAGATATAGTTACAACACTGTATAAGTTAAATATTTAACTTTATAATCACCATTTAAGTTGTCTTTTGGGGAGAGTAATTTGACTAGTATTTATAGAAACTTGGAAGCTATTGATATTTTACTTGAATAAGTAATGGGACTTTATCTTTCATCTGAGCCGTCGAATGGATTTAAACATAAAATCTTGTGAAAATTTTTGTTCAATAATGCATTGTTATGTCATAAAGGTCAAATGGTTTACTGTTTATTTATTTTTTATTTTATTTTTTGTTTGAAATGTGTATTCCTAAATTATTTGTGAACACACAAAATATAGATTTATTTTTCTTTGACACTCATAAATTGTAAATTTTTTCTATTTTTTTTTTTTTTTTAATTAAAAATCTTTTCCTTAAAATTATGTATGTGAAAGAGAAAAGAAAAGCTAGGTCATATAAGTAAATGTAAACGTTGATTTTATAAATACATTGAAAACTTTTCCATCAGGCGCAAGTTCAAAAGTATCCAAAGGTGAAGCCTGATGCCGATATTAAAATTCCTCCTGTTGTGAGACAAGTTTGCCTCAACAATCTGTACGATGAATTCTGCAAGTTTTTCTCTTCTGAAGAATCCAGTGACAAGGTAAATTTTGCACTTTTTTTATTATTTTTATTAACATTTTCTCATTGTGTTCTATGGGATGAAGAACTTGTAGTTCAGTTGTTTATGTTTACTTTGGTCCACCTAATCTCAACTAACCCACAAGATGACCAAACTACATGTTTATTAATATTTATTGTAAGTTTTAAGCTTCGTCAAAAAAAAGTTTGTTGGTGTAAGAGTTAAAAAATTCAGATTTATGTTGTTATATCTAACATTAAGTACAGTCAACTCTTGTTAAGTTGAACATGACGATAAAATTTCTTGATAATACGAACTCCTCAGCAGGTCACTTCGCTAAATCGAAAAAATTGTGGGCATACACTCGGTAATACAAAATATTTTTCGTACAGGGTGAGAAAATGTTATATTCCTCTAAATTTTCACATATTGTTTATTTTCTTACGGCCTAAAGTTTCTTAAAATTTTCTCTGGTTTGTTATGTTCTGCGTTGAGTGTTTTGTCAAGTGCTCTCTGCACTTGTCACTTTGGAAAATCATTTAAACAAAGGACAATGTTCAATTTTACAGTTGATCTATTTCCACTTTTATTATTACTGTGTTTTATATATGTACAGTAGAAATCCGTTTATCCAGACTTGAAGGGACCGGGACTTGTCCGGATAATCTGAAAATTTGTGATTTTATTTGTATCGTGTCATAAAAACGGAAAAAACATATATGAAAGTGAACACTTTTATTCACATACCAAGTAACATTTAAAGTAATAGATGTTTTATTTTTGTTTAAGTCCGGACATGTGTTTCTCGAAAAATTTATACGTAAAAAATACCTGATAAAAATATACATAATAAAAAAACCTTTTCAATGAAAGCCGACATATGAACAACACGAGAAAACAATTTATAGTCTTTTAAAATAGTATACACCTTTTTATTTATTTATTTTGTAACAAAAACATGCCTCTCCGGCCTCTTCGATCGTGTGATTAATAGAAGGGCGATTTGGTGGCCTTTCCGAATTTCGAACAACGAATTAAATGTCCCATAGTTGATTTATGAATTTAAAAAAATTAATATACAGACATCGAAAATTATGAAAAATTCACTAATTTTTGTGGTCCACTTGACCAATTAATATCATTAAATTAATTAAGGTTTTTAGTTGAATTATCAAAAATGTATAAAAATGTGTGGTATTTAGTGACCATTAAATAATGATTATTTGGAGGTCGTGGGACTATACCACTATGCACTACTATACTAGACAGCATCTCAATATCCAAATAATTTATAAAAAATATTTTAACAAACGGGTCCGGATAAACGGGTTTCCACTGTATAAGTAACAATTTCAAAAAATGCATATCATCAACTCTTAACAATTTTTTTTCTTTCCTCCTGATAATTGAAACATCTTAACAACTGTACATGTATTCAAGTTTTAAAAAAATGACCATGTAGACAATTGCTAAAGTAGAATTCATCACCTCAGGTTCTTATTGTTGGTCTGGAGCTACCAACCGTAGCCACCGTATGATAAAATTCTTCAGGATTGGAAAAAGCCCAAACTTTTTTTAAAGAAAGGAATAATAATTCCTCATTTAGTTGTTTTTCAAGTTCAAAGTAATTTCTAGAAACTATTTTTTTAATCATTTGAAAATGATAACACTTCTGGTGATTTGCCATGATTCATTAAAGATTAGAATAAATTGAAGGCAAAGGTAATGATTCATTTGAATTTGCGAATTACGTAAGTGGTGAAGATAGAATTATAATTCTCCGAAGTAGGAAATTAGAAAAATGCTTAATGGTATTACTCATATTTCAAGATATTTATTGACTTTTCCTTAAAAATGAATCATAAGGCAATGGGTTAAAAAACACCATAGAGCAATACCATGTCCGCTGAAAATGACTGCTGTATAGAAGTAAAGAACGAAAGGTCTGAGACGACAAAGTTTGATTGTACATCGCAACTTACAAGAGAATCCAATGTAGTTTTGCAATTTTAACAAGTTATTTTATAGTTTTCATTTTTTTTTTTTACATTTATTTCTAGGCACTTGCAGAAGAACTTGACATTGCAAAACGAATGAGTGTTGCTCATACTTATCAGTGTGCAGTTGCAGTATTTATTTTAAGAATTCGTAAAAACAAAGGAGTTATTGAAGGAGGTACTTGTTTTTTTTAATGCAATTACAAATTATATTTTTGATTTTGTACTTATTGTTACAAGAGCTTAGACAAAAAATATATATAAAATCAAAACTACTACTAGTTTCATAGGAATTATTTAACACGTTGACTGCATAAGAAGCTATGTGTGCATCATGCTAACTATCCTGGGTGCAATGGATGGTCTATATCCCGCTTATACTTTTTAAACTCTCCCTCCACTTTACCTGCTACACAATTCCTTTCAAAATTCCTAGGGCTGCCTCAGAAAGGGCTAACGTGTCACTGGCTATGATTGTTTCAATTTTTTCCCTCAACCAGAAGTCTTAATTTTTTTTTAAAATTCTGTAAAAATCACGTATTTGCTTTTCTGCACGTTTGGTTTTTGTACCCACTTTGTATGATTTAAGTAAATTAAAGGACAAAATATTGTAGAAAGTAAAAACAACTTTAATTCAACTACACACCCAAATTGAGCAAATGCTCTGTGGGTTGCTTACTTCATTTACTTAGTACTGTGCAACGTTCCTTCATATAAATTATAAAATCATTTACAGTATTTTACGTGATACATTGGATTCCGCCATGGGCAACTGAAATGGCCAAGCATAGGAGCATAGGATGCAGTCAACATGTTAAACCATATCATTTAATTATAATAACTCAAGTTTTTGTTTTCAGGAAAAAATGCGGAAGCCATTGAACCTCTTTCATCAGAATCAATTCCTCCTTATACATATGGTAATTATAACTATTTTATTACAACTTTGCACATATAAATTTAACTTCAGGGGCGTCAGTGGTTGCATAATTAAGGCATTGACATGGTGCTCATCAGTGTGAGGTAAGGTCCTGTGTTCGAATTTAGCGGCCCCATTCGAACCTGGCCTACTTACAAATGGGCTTTTTTCCCCGAAAACACTGGCACCTCAAGTGGTAAAAAAATTAAACCAAAATTTAACCTTCGTTCTTAGTAGAAACTAGATTTATTTATTTTTTATTATTTATTTATTTTTATATATATTAAAATGGTCTTATTAATCCACCAACCATTAATTTTTCAATGATATATATACAATAAATAAATGTTTAAATTCTTATAAACCCATTGGTACAGTAAGATTTTTACTTCACAATTCATTAAAATTTTAACTACTCATTTCATATGGCTTCGTTCTTTTAATCTTCTGATGGTGTTTCGATTTTGTAGTGTATTTGCTTCCACATTCTCATGCTGGTTGAGGCGAGACTGATGTTTGGTGGTATGGTATGGTGATAAGGAAGTGGGGTTTGTATTCCCCAGGCACTGCAGCCTTCTGGCTTATTGTACCTTCCTAGTTCCTTAGTTCAATCAATAGACTCAATCCTTCTTCTTAGAAGTATCAGGTCATTGACTATTGCTGCTGCAGTTTGATTTCTAAGTCTTTTCCGTACGTTAGGTTAAACCTCCATTGAGCTGGTGCTTCACATTCGAAGATGATATGAGTGGCTATTTCCTCCTCCTCATTACATAATCTGCAAATGGGATCATCGCTGTATGTACCGCTGTATATCGGTTAGTAGTCCTACCACTCCTCTGAGTTTGGCCCTCTCCAATTGCAGCAGTGTTTTTGCCAGTCTCGGTGAGGGCTGTTTCATCATAAGTTTACTATGTCTAGCATCGCTAGAGTTTATCCACTTCTCTCTTTGTTTTGCTTGGGTCCATTCTGCGATGGAGGATTCTATATTTGTTTTTGTTATCCCAAGAATAGGTTTGGGGCCTATGTATGGTCTTGCAGATCCTCCTCTGGGCAGTCTGTCTGCTTTCTCGTTACCCAAAATTCCCCTGTGCCCTGGCACCCAAGATATCATCAGGTTGTTGTGTTTTCCCAGGTTTTGGAGATTTTGGATGCATTCACTGACTAGTTTTGATGTGATTCTTTTACATGCTAATGCTATAATAGCTGCTTGGCTGTCTNGCCCATTTGTAAGTATGTCGGGTTCGAATGCAGGGCCGCTGGATTCGAACCCGGGACCTTTACCTTACAGTGATGAGCGCCGTGTCAAAGACTAAACCTTGCGGCCACCGACGCCCCCCCTCCTGTGTTATTCCTCTCCTTTATAGTCCATTGAGACTTTATAGGAAGTTGTGAAGATTGTTTCCGGGGATGTTTGGTGACAAATCTTTGTATTTACACGGTGGCCTCAGGGATCTTAAGATCTCTATATAAGTCCTTGCGTACTAAGTTGCATTGACCATTTTATGTGAGATTTATTTTGGATTGTTTATATAATTTTGATATTGCTGTGTTTGTTACAACCCCATAATTGAATACCACATGTTCACATAGGCTTTAGGATTTGACTGTACAACAATAATTTATTTTGTATAGGTTGGAGCCGTGTCCTATCAACTAGTTGTGTATACCTTAAACCTATTTCTATCCTTTTTTCTTTGTGTGCTCTTTCTATCTCAGCTTGGCATCTAAAGTCATTCCCAGATATTTAGCAGTATCGCTGTATTCTATAATAGTTCCATCGATTGTGAGAGATGGCACATGGTTCACTTTTTCTTAGTAAAAATTATATGTATAGATTTATGCTGATTTTCCCCTTTTTATATTTCTTTTTCATCCATTTGTTTATCTTGTTACAAGTGTTTTGAAGGATTTTGGATGAATGGTTGATGGTCTGTCCTGATGTGTCATTTAAAAACTAGAATTTTTACGCTATCTATTTTTGGGAAATCACTGGTGTATAACAAGTAAAGTAATGGACCTAACATGCTATCTTGTGGCATTCCTGCACTTATTGTTTTTAATTGTGATTATTGATCTCTATTCACCAGCAGCCAAATTCAAAATGGCGCCGATGAACACCCCAAGAGATAGGAGTTGAAATTAATAAGAAGATTGTTTTGGCACCACGGGAATGGAAGATTCCCGATTGATTAGATGTTAGTTTAGGAAGAATTAAATGAAGGAATAAATAATAAACGAAAGGAGTAAATGAAGACTCACTGTTTAATGAAATTTCTATGGCTTACAAGATGGCCGATGATCGTAATGGAGATCTGAAGGCAATGACGGTCTAAAGGCGATGACGACCAGACAGCGGTGAATATCTCCTGAATGCGATATCATGCGTTGTTCAGCGGTGATTAGGCCAGTGCACCGACCTGGTTCCTGCAGTGTCAATGATGATGATGGATGATGAAATCCAGTGGCGATGACAATGAGACGATGCAATTCGGGTAGTAGCCAGTGAGATGATGGAGTCTTCGGATGATAATGATGGATGATTCATTCGTGGGATTACAATGATGATAAATGGAAAAAGGGAGATGAGATTCAGGGAAAATGGCGATGATAGGTTTGGGGACCATGCGGTTGGGAGATGGGCCGCACACGGAGGTGAAGATCATATGGCGATTTGAAGGGGAATCCGTGGGGAAATGGAAGAGACGGCGATCTTACACGGAGGTGAATTACTATGGTGCAACACTTTGGGGAGATAGGGCGGTAGAAGGCGTGATTGCTGCAAGAGCTGGTGGAGAAGAGAGCCCAAAAAAGCTGGAAGGGATGGGTTTTTGAGTAAAAAGGAGGGAAGCGTGTTATGATTGGTGGACGTCCAGAAGATAGGGGTTGTAGATAGAGGGGTACAGTGTGTGTCGCAAATCGGGCGCTTTGGTGACAGAGATGCTCCCGAACCATCTCCTTGTTTGCCTCTACAATTTCTATCAGCTGGTAGGTGTGTGAAACATCAAGGAAGATAGCAGAACAAATTTGTTTTTTTCTGCGAGTGATCTTTGTTACATCCGTTACTCTGTGAATTTGGTCTATTGTTGAATGTCTTGCTCAGAATCCAAGTGGTGGTCAGGGATGATTTTATTTTTTTCTACAATTGAAAGGCTTAGAGACTGTCGGTAGTAGTGATATAGGTCTAATTATTTATATTATTAATATGTGATTTTTTTGTTCTTATTACAGGCTTAACAATTTATGACTGTTGTACTAAATATTTAATGACTGAATCGGAACTTCTTCTTCATGGCTATCCTCAAAAAATTGAAGGCAAACCTGGTTGTGCATATTTCAATATAGAGTCAGGCAGAGCTCCAATTAAACAAGAAGGAAAAGAAAGAGTATGTATTAATTGCACAAGAAGTTATTATTTGGATGATGATGACATGCCTATCATGGATGGGGACTGTGTTTATCATTGGGGCCGACTGATAAAAGTCAAAGGTAAATTTTCAGTTTTAATATGCTCTTAATAATACATTTTCACTTAACACAAATATTCCAATAGTTTATGGTGGTTGGACTGAAAAGTACACATGCTGTAATCAAGAACAATTCATGGGAGGCTGTCAAACCAGTCAATATCATATTTCGAATACATTCGATTGGGAGTGTTTAGAAGGTTTTGTGTCCACAAAGCCCTCGAAGAAAATCACAAATGACCATTATGCAGGAGTTTATGCATTGGATTGTGAAATGTGTAGCACAACAAAAGGGTCTGAACTAACAAGGGTCACTGTCGTAGATCTTAATGGAAATATCAAATACGACGTTATTGTACGACCTGACAATCCTATTTTGGATTATTGTACAAGGTAATTTAGCTCTTTCAGTTAGTAGATTCTAAGTTTAATTACATAAATTATCATATCATCATTATAAGAATCAAAAGTATCATTATAAGAAAATAAATATAATTATGTTATTCAAACTACTGAAACAATCTTTACATGAAAAATTACTGGGACTACTTCAAAATGGATTTTTTCTTTCTTAATGAATGCAAATTCTGTGATTATCACTATGTTGGCAAGCAAGATTTAAATATTTTCACTAATATGTAGTCCCCTGGATCTGTCTACACTCATAGGTTTTGATGTTACTCATATTTATTTCTACTTTGTGCAGTCTTCAGTGAGGAATAGTGGGCTATAGACAAACACAGGTTCAATATATGTATAGACTCGCATATCAATGCCCATCGTCAACTATAAATCCCCTTAACCTGTATGATAATCACAATTAAACTGTTCTATTTTACCGAGCTAAATTGAAAAGTTAAGGGGGGTCAGTATGCCTGTCATTTTTATATCCCAAGGCCCATTATCTCAGAACCTATTCAGTAAATTTTGCAGGTCTTTTATTTTGCCTAAAATACTAAAGTTTTCGTTGAATTGTAAAATAAATAAAAAAACTTCAAAATAATCTGATATCTAAATAATTAAAATTATAAATAATAAATTGTGAGATTTGAGATTGGAACAATCCATCAACACACCGACAGTGAAGCTAACATCAACACAAACCAAACCCTTCCATCCACGACTTTGTAACTGAAACTTGATTCCATACAAATTGCCCAGCCTCTTCGCTGAAGATGGCGTAATGCTGAAATATGTCTGACAAACAATTTCAGAGAGGATAGAGCAGAACACGATACCTGATTCCTTTAATACAATCCTCATGGCTGGCCTTGGAATACTTTTACGATTTGCTGATTTATATAAGTCCAACTCTGCACACAGATGTACATACATTCACACGGGTACAGCACTAAGCCTATCACTTCTTGCAGTCTGCCGACAATTTGAGCTGTTGAAATTAACAATAAATTACCGTCAGGCCTCGAAAATCACTTACCTTGTGTGTTGACAGTACGGGGTCAGTCTTTGGTCTTGTCTGTTGCTTCACCAAGGTTGGGCTTCTGGGGCTATTAACAGCTATGTCATTTCTGCCCCCAATGCAATCAAAATCCGAAGCATTTAACTTGGCGGTTTTTTTTTCACAGCTGAAACACTGGTTTTACTAGAGGTTATCGTATTGGTTTCACTGTTCCACAAGACGGAACTGACCAGTTGTGTCGTTTTCCAATAATATCAATTACAGTATAATATATTCCATTATTGTTTATTGGTACAATGGATGAAGAGCAAGTTCATCTGCTGTCCCTACTGTATTATCCATTAAAAAGAACGAAAAACAGTTTAATATGGGTTCACCCAATTGTAGGAAAAAGATAGAAAAAAGAACGTACGAATGTAAAACACCTGTTTTACATATGACCTCTAAATCTACATTATTAATTTTGTGAGATTCTCCGTGTAGACTGGAAGGTGATGAACCTGTGATTTCCTATTTGTCTGACAAATGACCAAATTACATTGTAATTTTGTTGCATTATATATTACGCAGGGCGGGCGACCAAGACCCCGAGGGGTTAAATGCCTGGGTAGACTCGTACCCCATCCCTAAAGGGTCCAGGACTTTGTCGGTTCACATGCCCTGCATAAACCTCTTGGACTTGTTCACAAACCCCAAGATTTTGGACCATTTTATCTCAGGGAGTGATTTGGTAATGTCCTCTCCTTCAAAAGTTTCAAATCTATCCCTGTCGTACCTATCACACTGCGAGGTAGTGCCGTGCTGTTTCATCTTTTATTTCACTAAAACGGCAGAAGGGGTCTGGTAAAATACCCATTACGAAGAGGTGTCTTCTCAAAGGGCAATGGCCCGTCAGGATACATATCAGCCTCCTAATTCCCTTCCTTGAGTCATAGAATAGCCATTTTGATTCTTTTGGTTTGATCTCCTACACAAACTCCTTCGATTGCCTATGTCCGGGGGACAGATTCCATTCTTTAAGGAATTGTTTCATGCCCCAGCTATTAATACTCTCTTTCGCTGTGCTTGTAGAGTGGGGTAATACTGGTTGTGGCCCAACAAACACAGTATTAGATCCTTTGGCCAGGCTATCCTCCTCTTCATTGCTATAGTGTCCTTTATGTGCTGGTATCCAAATGAGGGTTACCCTATTCTCATACCTAGAAGTGATCCTATTGATAAGTTCAACAGTTTCCTCCACCAGCCTAGATGTTGATCTCTTTTTGTAATGCCCTAAGACTAGTCTGACTGTCGGAAAAAATTCTAATATCTTTTCCCTTGATTTTATTATCCATAAGTGTTCTGCAGCAAACATTAATGGCCCATATTTCCGCCTGAAAAACGGAGGTGTTATTACCAAGAGGGGAGGAGATGCTGATCCCTAATTTAGGTATATGTATTCCAGCACCGCTTCCCTTGCCTTTAATAAATGAACCATCGGTGAAACAGTGTATGTTATGATGATCATCATCCACGCTGTAGTTATATTCACGCGGAGTAACTACCTGGAAGTATTTTTTCCCTGAAGGGGTTTTAACCTCTTTATTGCTAATGCTTAATAGTTGGCCGTTGACCTTACTCAATAATAGTAGGATTTTCGAGTGACCTATGTTGTTTCCCTTATGATTCCAACTGCCTTCACTAATTAATCTATAGCAGCTGGTTAGTGCTCTGACCTTAGCCTCTATGTGTAGAGGTGTAGTATTGGTTATAATTAATTAAGGTTTTTAGTTGAGATAAAAAAATCAATGGCACGAGCGGGATTCAAACCCACGATCTTCGGCTTGATACGCTGCTGCTCTACCACTTGAGCTATCATGACCTCAATCCACTCGGACACCAACTTCCCATCTCAACCGCACCTTGTGAATTTTCCCTCTTTTTTGCCATTTTTCAAATGTCGTGTAATCGGATTGGGAAGTTGGTGTCCGAGTGGATCGAGGTCACGATAGCTCAAGTGGTAGAGCAGCGGCGTATCAAGCTGAAGATCGTGGGTTCGAATCCCGCTCGTGCCATTGACTTTTTTATCTCAACTAAAAACCTTAATTAATTGTAATATATTAATAGGTCAAGCGGACCACGAAATTAGTGAATTTATTGGTTATAATCTCAAGTGCTAGGGTGGGTGTAGTTGAAAATGCTCCCGTCATCATCAAACAACCTAGTCTTTGAAATGACCTTAATTTGTTAATATTCCCTTTATTTTCTAGCCCTTTCCACCATACTAGGGCTGCAAATAGAAATATAGATAGAATAATTGCAGTATATATCCATTTGGCCACCCGAGGTTTGATACCCCACGTTCTACCAACAATTCTCCTACATTGCACCATAGATAATGTGCCTTCCCTGTATATGTTTTTAATGTGGCCTTTCCAATCGTTTCCCTGTCAAGCGTCACTCCGAGGAATTTGTGAGATTCTCCATGTAGACTGGAAGGTGATGAACCTGTGATTTCATATTTGTCTGACAAATGACCAGAAATGACCAAATTACATTGAAATTTTGTTGCATTAAAAGAAGTAAAAAGATCTCATTTGAACGTTATTTTATGTTTTTATCTGCATTTATATATCGGAATTTTTCATATATTTCAAATTGATGTTTTAGGTTTAGTGGCATTACAGAAGAAGTTATGGCAACTGCTTATTTAAGACTGCCCGATGTTCAGGCTCAGTTGTTAAAAATATTTAATGATAAGACAATTTTAATCGGACATTCTTTGGAAAATGATTTAAGGGCTTTACGGGTAAAATTAATGCTATCTATTATCTATTATTATCTATTTATAAATTTGATAATTTGAAATAACAAAACTTTAACTTTTTTAGATGTTTCACAACAGAATCATCGATACAAGTGTGCTATACCCCCATAGAAAAGGGCATCCATATAAATATGCATTAAAAACATTAACGAAGGAGTACTTGGGTAGAGAGATTCAAATAAAAGGTAACGGTTTATATAATTTATTAGAAATTTATTTATTTCAACATTGTTGTTCATTAAGACTCAGGACATGACAGCGAAGAAGATGCACAAGCTTGTTTGGAATTAGTCATTTTGAAAATAAAGGAGGATTGTAAATCACGAAAACCAAGAGTAAGTTTTATATGAAACTCTTGTCCTTATTTTACTAAATTTTAATTTAAGTTCATAGCTAATATATGTTTTTTCTGTTTTAGGTAATCATTAGTTTACCTGGCAAACAAACAAGAAAAGAGTCTACTGAAAAGTAGCATTACATTTACATGTATAAACCAAAACTAGCCAAAATTTGGCAGTCATAGATAAAATATTGTTTATTAATTGCATTGTAATACTCCCCTCAAAATATTTTTATACTTGTTTGTAGTTATTGATTACGACAATTCCTGACGCAGAAAGTTGTAAACAAAGCTGCAGATTGTTTTCTGTTACAGTTGTTTTTTTCTTTTTCTTTCTGACCTGTACATAGCTATTTTAGTTATAGATTATATCTGTAAATTATACTTAATACATTATTTATATCTGGCTGTTTTGTATCAGCAGTTCAGTTCAGCTTCAGATAATTTGGCCCACTCTATCCCCTGGTAGTGGATGTTATATGTTTTTAAAAAAGAAAAGACTGAAATACAGATATAAAGAAAATTTATGCAATAAAGTTGTTAAATTTGTTTTCAGTGTTTTTCTCACTTTCCTCTCCTCACAATGTGTGTTGTGAAAAGTTCCAATGAGAATGAAAATAAATGAAATAAAATTATAAAAACTCTATTAGGTATGGGGGACAAGTAATTTCTAGGATGAGCACGCAAAATTGAACTGAAGGCGTATCAGCTTCACAACAAATTCAATCAAAGTAAATTTGCGTAATGATGCAACAGTTCAGGTAAATCAAATAACCATTTGAGGGAGAGAAAAAAAGAGGGGAACCAAAAAATGGTTTCAGCGAATTGCTGAATGAAAATAAAAATGAAATAAATTAATTGAATAAATAAAATTTAAAAAAAAAGACAGTTACTGCTATTGCGGAAAAATGTGAATTTCTGGCTACTGCTCGACAGCGCTGGACTGGATGTTGGAGTTCGGGCCCGAATCCACGCTTGCTCCTGTTGATAAATTGTCGAAGCCAGGGACAAGTGTCGAGGGATGATGACGAGAGAAAAAACGATACGGAGATATTGGCGTGGTCAAGACCTGAATGCCTACTACTGAGCCTTCTCCTGTCCCAATAAATGCCCAACCTAAACCCCCACGCGAGAAAGGCCATAACCACAAGCCCTCGAAAGCCACAGGAATTATGAAAAATGTAAATTATAATTTTTCCTGACATAAACATGGACCTTTCATTGAAAAAACATACTTGAAAAATAATGACATAAACCCTAAAAAGAAAAAGCTCCCTACAGGAATGGTAAAAAAAATTCTGTTTGATCTATATGTGACACAATGGTCTGCTTCTTTCAATGTCCCAAACATTAAAGAGCTACCAACAATTCCTTCCATTGTTGAGAGGGCATTCAGCGATGATGCCCGAGGCTCCGTAAGTATGCAATAAGTTTGAATGAAATTGGTATGAAGGCCATGAGGAGATAACTACTGGAAGTGAAAAAGCCAAAGCCTGAAGGGTAGATACAAGCTAAGCCCTTAGCTTAGCTTAACAAGCTCTTAAAGTCTTGGGATCTGATAAAAAAAATCTTTAAACATAATGGAGAGGAATCAATTGGTTCAAATAGGTAAACAAAAGTAAAATATTTTTATTTTAGTCATATTTTAAAATATTTACATACATTAACACATCACAAAATATAATAAGAATTTATAATAACATATCACATGTTTATCCTTAAACATTTAATTTGGCTAATTATCGAGCCTCGCTTAATTATTTATTATTAAGTTTCATGATAAATTATCTTTAATATTGTCAAAAGGCACTGTATTCAATTTGTGTATTAAATCACAGCTTTTATTATTTCTAGTTCTCAAGTTAAATTTTGATTGAACTTATTAAACTGAAAGTAAAACTGCAGTGATAGTAAGGAAAAAAATATAACAATGCTTGCCAAAGTGTTTCGGCCAATTTTTTTTAAAAGCATCACTTTAAAAACAGACATAATAAACAGTTTTGATAGTAGCGAAAAACTGGTAATATGTCAATAAAAATAAAACTATAAAATAGTACAACAAATGTTAACTTTAAAGCAAAAATAATACACCTTTATGGACAAATTGTACACAACATTAAAAAAAAATTATAAACAAAATACTTCTGCTGAATAAAATACTGATCCTTTACAACTTTAAAGTTTCTGAAAAAGATAAAAAATTAATCTATAATAATTTATTAATTAATAAGTAAAATATAAATATAATATATTGCAGAAAGCATTGAGCTATGCTATAAATCACTTTGTAAAAAAACTATCCTAATTTAACATGGATATGTTAGACTAGGTAGGGTTAGGAAACGGAGTACGTTAAGTTAGGTAGGGTAAGGGACGGTAATGGGTTAAAGAGCAGGGTAAATAAGATTGTTAACGAGAGATTTAAATAAAAACATTTACATTTGTTTCATCAAGGCGAAAGGCACAATCCGTAGTGAGAACAAAGAGTTCTACGACTGCTGCAATGTTAGACAATACTCTTTGTCCTCGCTTCCGATCGTGCATGTTGCAGCGACGAAACAAATACAGTTGACTCTTGTTAATTCAAAACTCGATAATACGAATTTCTTGATAATTCGAACTCCTTAGCTGGTCACTTCGGTAAATTGAAAAAATTCTGTGTATTTGGATACACTCGGTAATATGAAATATTTTTTGTGACAGGGGAGAAACAACATTCTTTAATTCACTTTTTCCGCTTCGCTTGTTTATGGTAAAAACTTTTTCCATGTATTCCATCTAGCAAAAGTTTCTTTACATTTCTCAATTCTCTAGTTTGTTATATTCAGTGGTCAGAATGAATACAAACAAAAAATATGCATCTCTTTCTATGAACAAAAGAAAAAAATATGGTGGCTGCGGAAAGTGGTTTAAAAAAAAAGATCCTTCCTTAAAGAAAAAGACGAAGAACTTCAACATTCCACCATCTCCACTGGCAACAATTTTGAAGAACAGAGGGAGAATTTTGCAAAAAAAATCAAAATCAGGCCAGGGACCCTGAGCCCCTTCTTCTTGAGGATTCTTTAAGTGGCTCGACAATGTAGAGGGCAAAATTTACTTGTTGGAGGTGCTTTATTAAAAGTGAAAGCATTAGAATTTGCTACACAATAGGGTATTGCAGGATTTCTTCTTGCAAGTGAAGTATGGCTCACAAATTTCAAACGCTGACATGACATTTCTTTTTAAAAAATATGCAGAGAAAGCATGAGTCTTGATAAAACATGTGTTGAATGGAAAGACAAGTTACGGACTCTTATTGACAATTGTGCACCTTGCAATATTTTTAATATCCAACAGCTGCCATGGTGATGCAGGCAAACATGGAGCCTATTGCTGTGTGCAGAGAAAGCTTGGCTCTGGCCCTGCATGAAAGAATCCTTTGGCCTTCCTCGCTAGAGAGATTATCGTCCACCTAGTGTGAGTCTAAAAACACAGATACCATTTGTATCTGAGGCCAAGAAAGTTATAAGAAGAATTGGCCTGGAATGTTGCAAGCGCCAGGATCTTCCCACACAAATGGAGCAGGTGTTACAGGTGTAATTTCCTGCCTGGACCTAGTGAAACCTGTGAAAAAGGAGGGTGCCTCTCCTACAGAACTTAAGACAATAACTCTGGAAACCCTCGCTCTACTTCATCCAACAAATGAACGGCTCCACGTGTACACGGATGGCTCAGCAGTTGATGCTAGAGAATGCGCTGAAGCTGGAGTCTATTGCTCACAATTTGAGATGGCGGCACCTGTTGGATTAAAAGCGACAAACTATGATGGAGAGGTACAGGCAGTTGCGTTGGCCTTGGATAGGTTGCAGAGCAAGGTGGACTGTAAGGTTGTGCTCCTGATTGATTCGTGAGCTGTGATCCAGGCCATTACATCTCACTACTTCTCCGATTCCCATGCTGTACTCCTATGTCAGAGAATATTGAACACTTTAATAAGCTGCAGTACAACTGTTGCTCTTCAATGGCCTACATGGTAATGATAAAGCGGACAGTCTTGCCAAGAAAGGATCTCTAATGCACCAACCACATATGCCCCTTACTTATGGAGATGCTAAGAGAATTATAAAGACTACTCTCCTGAATTCCTGATGAAATGAAACGGGAGCACAGAGCAAAAGCGGAGGGAAAGCAAATGGGGTCTCTAAGAGATACAAATAGGTTACTGCCTTTAAACCTCCCTAGAGAACAATTCATGGCCTGTTTTCAGTTAACAACTGGCCACGACTACTTTGCAAAACATCTGTGCAGGATTGGGATTTTTCAACAATCAGACTGCATGCTGTACAACACCGGAGAGGAAATGTCTGCACAACACCTCGAAACGTGCTCTGCTCTGGAAGACGTCAGAAGCGCTTCAAGAAATGATGAATACAGTAGGAGAGCATTGATATATTGGGCTGCAAGGAAACGAATGGCTGAAGTTGTCGACATTCCTGCTTCAAAAAAAAAAAAAAAAAAAAAATGGATGAGACCAGTCTATTCTTTAAATGTCTCCCTGACCAGACCATGATGAAAAGTGTCATGGGGGAAACATAGCAAAAAAAGAATTAATTACCTTGCTGCTTACTACAAACTTGGATGATACAGAAAAAACCCCTAATTGTAAGTAAAGCAAAGAATCCTAGGTGCTTCAAGGGCATCAAGTCTTTTCCTACTTCCTACGAGGCAAAGAAAAACGCATGGATGCCAACAGAAATTTTTAATGACTGTCTTCTACATTTTGGTAACGAAATGTGGAAACAATAGAAACATCCTCCTTTTTCTAGACAATTGTACTTGTATTTGTTTTGGATCGTTATCAGACACTGAAATTTTGGCTAGTTCTTGCAAAAATGATGGCAATGATGAAGACGACGTAAACGAAGCAGAGCCAATATGGAATGTTACATCAAAGGAAGCCAGAAAATCTCTTGACATGCTCCATAATTTCCTGGTTAAAACAAATGTGGATGACAATGTGTATCTCAGCAGTAGTCACTTTTGGAAAATGCTTTAGACAAAGGACGCAAGACCACATTGAAACAAAAGACACCAATTATTTTTAAAATGCATAATATTAAAACCTACGTTTATCTTTCTGCTTTTTCATTATTATTATGTTGGCTATGTTGTTTTATATACTTGTACATTTTATGTAAGTATTTTTTAAAATACATATCCTTTTAATAATTCAATTTTTTTCTTTCCTCTAGATAATTTGATTATCTTGTTAATTCAAACTCTTGATAATTCAAATTATTTTTATGGTCCCTTGGGTTAAGAATTATCGAGAGTCGACTTTATAAAACTTTAGGATGGGGTTAGGTGGGGTTAAGGAACGGGCTATAGATGACCTTAAGTTAAGTAGGGTTAGGGACGATGTTAGGTTAGGTAGGATTAAGGAATGGGCTACGGATGACCTTAACTTAAGTAGGGTTAGGGACAATGTTTGAATGGGCTACAGATGACCTTAACTTAAGTAGGGTTAGGGACGATGTTTGAATGGGCTACGAATGACCTTAAGTTAAGTAGGGTTAGGGACGATGTTAGGTTAGGTAGGGTTAAGGAATGGGCTACGGATGACCTTAAGTTAAGTAGGGTTAGGGACGATGTTAGGTTAAGTAGGGTTAAAGGAATGGGTTACGGATGACCTTAAGTTAAGTTAGGGACGATGTTGGGTTAGGAAGTACGAAGTAGCTCAATTGATAGTGTGGTGCCTAAATTTTGCTAGGTCATATTAGGGCTTTTGGCCCCTCTCCCCCTACTCAAGTTCTATTTTAAGTGATATATATATTGACCATTTTTTTATCCATGAATACTCTGGATCTCGGTATGGTCTGGACGAAAATAGAAATTCATTTGTTATCTGCTTCGCCTTCGAATTACTTTAAGGTTATGTCCTTAAAACATGATCTTACAATCCTAAAGATTTTTTTTGGACATAGACTCAGTCACTGCCCAACATTGCCAAGGACTGCCAGTTTCATCCGGACCATACCAAGATCCAAATTATTCATGTGAATAAACGTAAGCACTCGAGAATAAAATTCTTTGTTTCTACGTTGTATGCTGCAAGTATAATTACAATTTTATAGGTTCCAACACTTTTGAAAGTGAATGAGCAGCTACATTTCATTTGAAACAGAAATATTTTAAAAGAGTGAGAATACCACTTCCATTTTTCTAAAAACATTGACCTTCCAAGCCAAAATAATGTTCAATAATGCAAGTTTTGCAATAAAATCAATAGGGTGTTCAAAAAAATGTTGAAGCTGCGTTATTAAAAAACTTCCGTGAACGAAAATTACAAAAAATATGGATTTGAAGTGTTAACTTTTAATCATCGCTGTAAAGCTCTCTTTCATATTCTATTTTGTTGTTATGAAATAATTACAATTTTAATCAACCATAACAAATGATTACAATAATCCTCATATTTCAGTGTATACTTAAATTGTAGTCAAACTGAAAAATCACTTACCAATTAAAATATTAAATATTCGTCTCAGATTGATGAGGGAGTGTTTTATCTTTATGCCGTTCCAGAATATTCGGCCTTGACGTGTAAGGCGAAAAGTTGGAAATGTGAGGTGGAGGGCCACTGACTATTCGTCCACCGACTCTCGGCCCACTTACGATTCGACCTCTGCTCAGTGATCTCAATCTGCAGTCAATTTCGCAGAGTAGAGCTGACCTATACGCTTCATACCTCATAACGATCTCTTCTAGTTGGTGTTTATATAAACGGGTCAACATGGCATTGAAACAATCCAGTTCCGGAAGCCTAAACAGCTCCCATTTAAGCTTGTAATCAAGTTGTTGAGATGCTCTACTATAAACTTCCAGCCACCGAGGAATTTCTGTAAATATATAAAAAAAACACAAAATTTTAAATTATACACAACTTCAAATTCTGAACAACTATTTTCTAATTTGAAGTATACAAATACCTTGATTTAAATATGGATTGGCTGGTACCAAAGCACTGTGCGGATGGAAGTGGGTATGCCTTGGAGGATTGGGTGGCGAAGGGCCCAATTCCATCTGAACTCTCATTTCAGGTTGATAAATATATTGTGAACATGGATGTTCATACTGAGCAGCTCGCGTTATATGGCTAGCAGAAGGTATAAAAAAATTTATATTAAGCTCTGAGTTCTCAGAAAAATAAAATAATATAGTAATTTGGTCACTGGGTGTCTTGTTTGTAAATTGTTCACATTTTGAACTTTCATGTTGTGCCAGTTAATAGTCTGTTGAACATATAAATTTTGCCACTTACTTAAATTATTATTATTATTTTAATTAGAACTTACTTTACATAATAAACTCCATACTCTGGGCTTTCTATTCTTTCCCATCCAGTTGGCAAGCCTTCCTTTTCCAAAGGGTGGCTCCAATGAGTTGTTTTTGTGTTGTGATCAATATAATACTTCCGGCCTCTTAAAGTGAAATCTACAGTCCATCCGGGAGGTAAAGGGAGTTCACCTGTTTCTAATATAAAATTTGTAAACACAGTCATGAACGAGGCAAAAAGAAAAGGCATATACATTAGAATCTAGGAAAATATTGAACCTCTTTCGAGTGGTGATATCGCCTGATTTTGAAGCATTAGATTATCTGGTAAATAGTTAACATGCTGTAAGTTTGTTGGGTCTGGTGGCTTATCCGATTCCATTACTAAAACATTACACTTAGTCAATATTGTACATAAAACAAAAAATCAGGGATAAAGCGAATTTGAAAAAAAAAAAAAATCAGTTCCTTTGTCACAATTGATGGTGGTAGATATGTCCACTTCACTAAGCTAAACGCTGGCTGAAACCATAAATTTAAATACTGTAAACAGATCTTTATATTTATTAACCATTATCCGAGACCTGATGAAGGTGAGATATTTCTTGAAAGGTTATGAAAGAACATCTTTTTTTTTAATTTGCCTTATCCTTATTTTTGTATATGCAATTATAATATTAATTAAGGTATATATCAACCACATCAAGATGTTTCTGTCGATATAGTTTAACATTGTTCTTAATAAAAAATACCTGACTGGGCGGCAGCTAAGTTATGTTGAGAGTGGCGTGACGGGGGAGGCAGACATTGAACTAATTGGGGTCGGTACATCTAATAAATAAGTAAAACATAAATACAAATATAAATAATAAATCTAAAGGGCAGCAAATTGCCTAATTGCACCAATTTCAAGCAAGATTTCACATTTTTTATTAATTACAATTAATTAAGGTTTTTAGTTGAGATGAAAAAAAGTCAATGGCACGAGCGGGATTCGAACCCACGATCTTCGGCTGCTCTACCACTTGAGCTATCGTGACCTCGATCCACTCGGACATCAACTTCCTAACTCAACCCCACCTTATGAGTTTTCCCTCCTTTTTGCCATTTTTCAAATGTCATGTAATCGGATTGGATTCTCAACGACAAATGAAATGGCCTTGGAGAGCTTTAGTGCCATTAACTTTTTTTCATCTCAACTAAAAACCTTAATTAATTGTAATGTATTAATTGGTCAAGAGGACCACGAAATTAGTGAATTTTTTATTAATAAAAATCACACTGATGAATATAATTATTGTATTGACTATTCACACAAAAATTGTACAATACTTAATTCACTACTTTCGTGGTCTGTTTGACCAATTAATATATTACAATTAATTAAGGTTTTTAGTTGATATGAAAAAAAGTTAATGGCACGAGAGGGATTCGAACCCACGACCTTCGGCTAGATACGCCGCTGCTCTACTACCTGAGCTATCGTGACCTCGATCCACTCGGACATCAACTCCCCATCTCAACCTCATAAGTTTTCATCTCAACTAAAAACCTTAATTAATTGTATTGTACAATACGTTTTGATTCTAGATCATTTCAGATTATTCTTTCTTTAATAAGTTATAAACTTCACATATACATAAAAAAAGATTTTAAATTTAAAAATAAATAATAATTTACTTGTTGGAATGGTGCAAAAGAATAATCATAAGATGTAGTTTGGCTGTATCGTAAATTGCCTGGATAGTCGTTTCTTGCTCTCATTGCATGGGGTATATCAGCCTGAAAATTAAATAACAATAAATATCATGTAGAATGGCTTAAGTGGAGTTTTGAAAATGCAAGTCACTTTTTCTCAAGTTTGCAAAATTAAGTTTAATAATTGTTGTCAACTTGCGTTGTAAAAGTTAAAAAAAAACTTTACCTGAGATTTGTTCAAGTTGAATTGGGAATCTGTATAAGGATAGTTGTAAGGGTTGTTCATGTTTGTCAAAAGACTGGAAGACGGTGTGGTATATAAAGGTGGCTGGGCAATACAAGCAGGACCATCACTATTGGCAACAGATATACTTGCAAATCTAAAACAAAAAAGAGTTAGCTGCATCTTAAGAAGTAATAACTAATAAAATTCATGTGTAAAGTGTGTCTGGCAAATCTCTTACAATCTACTACGATAATGTTCCTATCTTAAAATCTGACTGCATTCAACGTAAACTGCAGTTACTTAATAAAGTTATGACAATCTACAAAACTACAACCAATATGGACATAAGGTATATTAACTGTGGGAACTGTTAAACCTTCTGATATGCAATGTTTCCAATCCTTTCAATCTAAAGTCCTTAGATCAATTGTAAATGCTTTATGTTTGGCAGTTTTTCACGATGTCAATTGCAGTGTTGGCCCTGAGAAGGGTACAATTGCTTTCTCAAGAAGGTCCCAATCTGTTTGCCCCACTGGGAGTCTATTACTGTGAGCTTGATGGCACAAGACCCTTTTCACTCTAGCTAGTGAGAGAGGGCATCGATAAGCAAGTGGATCTCTTGATGAGGTGGTGAAGAGATTGAATGGTATTGAGATTCATCCGACTGTACCAGACACCTTGAAACCGTGAGCTTGAACGGCTGAAAGGTCCTTTTGAGTCTTTGGGAAGGGAGTCTCATGGTTGCCAAGAGGTGAGCGGACTCAAACCTCAAAGGAGCTCTGAGAAGAGTCAATGAAGATGGGTCAGACTGTGCGACTCCAGTTGTGTTGGCAATCCACTGTTCCGAGTTTGTAGTTAGCAGGAATTCCTGCCTGCTTATGTTACCTCCACAGGCTTTCTCAATTTCTTCTCTCATTAAAGAGTAGTATAATATTAATAATCTCGGTTTTAGTCTTTTTAAAAACTGTATATTGGCTGTCGATCCTCAGAGAGCCAGGGATAGGTATGTTTGGAAGGTACTGCTGGAATCAGTGGAAGGTTGGCTTCCTTAGATAGTTTACCTCTCGTTTATTTCTTTCAAGCAGAAAGAGAAAATAAAAATTGTGTCTTGAATTGCGCTAAGCTACAGCTTGGTTGTTCTCCACTAGGTGTCATTTTTGTTGAGAAAGTAGTATAGTCACCACACTTTGCATTGTATCTTCAATACTACTATCCACAACGACCAGTTTATGCAAAATTTAATTACTGAAAAATTTACCATGTTCCACAGTAAACCCTTCCATTCACCCCAATAGTCTTATCCAACTCTTTTTCAACAAATCCTATCCCTAAAATCCAAAAGGGCGTCGCAAGTTTGCTCTCTTCAATTAGACCATGTATATATGTAAATATGTCCTCAAATTAGGTGTAATAATTAGTACTTGCAGATTTGAAAAGAAATTGTCCAACTGACTTCAGTAAGTAATAAAATATAAATTCATCCTTACTGATCATCTTGATCTGCCTATCTGCACTGAGTTGGTCTGTCTTTGCCATATTCAGACACACTTATATTTTCAAAAACATCAACAGACCAACAAGTCAGGATCAAATTACAGCTTTGTCACCCTGCAGGCCAAAGGAGGAAATTTCATGATTAACACAAATACTATCAAGTCTGTGAAATGATAAACCACAGCTTGACTAGTCCTGACCATATCGGCCAGAGCATTTCAGGTGGTCTGCCATTGTTTTTTATTTATTTACATTAACTTTGACCTGCCAAAGGTTGACTTTAAAAGAAAGAAAAAAGTTCTTGATTCTTATGAAAAGTTCGGGAAACCTAGTGTAGCAAAATGGTAGGAGTGAAGAATAGGCAGTACAGGCTGTTATGTGTTATCAGATAATAAAATCTCTCTTTACAGGGCACTTCCCAAAAAAAGAAAAAATAGTGACACCACTAAAGCAGCTGAATGGGGATAAACATCCGACAGACTATGGTTAATATGTTGGCACATTTTTAATAACATAATTTTAAAAAACCTTTGTGCAAGATCAGGAACTGAAGTACTTGGAGTGTATTTTCCTTCGTGGCCTAAAACAGCAGGAGCAGGTTGGGATGTTTTACGGTGCACTCCAAACATTTCAGAAGTAGTGTTACTAGATACCTTTAAAAAATATATATCTTTCAGCTTTTTTTTTTTTGTAAACATGATATTAAATTTTATACCTGAGATTGTCTTAATGCGATAGTATTGTCCGGTTTGAACCCAGCACGCCGTACAGGCTTTTTTACCGGTTCCGTAGTCCATACATTAATAACTAAAAAACAATCAGATATGCACTTATAATTTTCGCTCCCTTTGCACTTATAAATAAACTCGTTAATATTATGTGTTTTGCCTCATTTTATTATTAAGGCTTAATATATGTTAGTTTTAAAATTGTCCAAATTTATTTAGTATATTATCAAGTCAAGAGTGGCATGTTTTATAGATTTTAACTTAAGCCTATTTAAAAAAACTTTAAAGTTTAGAAATTTAAATAAATTGACTGATACATAGAAATTATTTATAAGCCTGATATTTCCTTACTGTAAGTATAGTGAAACATCTTTGTTGTATGTCCACTGTTGTAGACGGAGTGCCCACAGGAAACTCATTCACGATAACATAGGATTAACGATTATTAAAATAAGCATGTCATGTCTGATAACGTCAAATAAAATATACACTGATAGGCAAAAATTCTGCCCAACTGATTTTTTTTTGTTTTCTTGTTAAAAGAAAATTCTGCCTGTAATTTGTCTCATTGTTTTTATCAATAAATATTTGTTTAGGCTAGTTTTAAATTTGTAATTTTAATTAGACATAAACACACTTAATCTTTAATCCAAAACAAGGATAAAGGATTTTTCAATGTTTAATTTCTACGGAATTTAAAATGTTTATTCAGTCTCATTTGAATTCTACAGTTTAGTTTTCATCTTTGTTTTTTAATTTCAATTTTTAAACTAAAAAATGCTACTTAGTGCTGAGGACATTGCGCGTGATGTGGCACTTATTGATGATGGACCTTCCATCATGTATTGCTATCGGAGTGCCCTATGAACTCTGCGAGAAGCTGTAAGACGATTTCGAGAAACTGGGTCCTACTATAGAAGGCCCGATTCTGGACACCCTAGGGTAACAAAAACAGGATGACCATGTTTTGGCTTTGAGAATTTTCAGAAACCGGCACCTTACTGTTGTTCAAGCCATCCATCGGCCCCAGGAAGTTCGAGGTGTCCAAATTTCTGAACGCACTGCTCGAAGCAGATATGAAATCAGTATGGACAGATGGCTTTTTGCCCTGTAAGACGACCAGAATCAACCAGAACATACAGAGTTGCACGGTATGACAAGCCATTTCATAAAGGCCGCCAAAGCGACATAAACAATCAATAAGGCAGAGTTCCAACGATTGAGGAGGCAGACGAGAGGACGGCGGCAGGCCTAAGGAAGAGCCACGCTGGATTTTGAGTTACTCGGTCGCTTGCAACTTTAGAAAGAAGATAAAGTAAAAATAAAAGTGTGTGACGTTATCAAGACAAAAAAACTGCTTGTGAAAAATTCTTGTGGAGTGGTGTTCGTTCATAAAGGTTTGTTACACTATACTATACAACTTGTCCAGAGAAAAGGAAACGAAAAAATAACTTTACACTTAATTACATTCTATCATAAGAAAATATTCCCTTTTCCTTATTTAATTAGTTGTAACCATTTATAAGATATATTTGATTCATTAATTTGTTATTAATATAAGAACCTTTTATTTTTAACGGGTACAGACTTATTATTTTATTTTATTTTATTTTTTATAACCATATTAATCCCACAACGTTATAAACACACGCTCCCACAACGTTATAACGGCTCACATTTGCTCGAGAACACAGCCATTGGTCTTTTGACGATTGGTCTGCAGTACTTTTTACATATGAATGTAGATTTGCTCCACGATCTCCAGATGGGCACGAAAGAGTGTGGAGAAGGTGAAATGAAAGGTACAAAGCCTGTAATTTTTCCTAGAGCCAAACTTTTCAACTCAGTGATGGTGTGGGTGGGAATTTCAATGGAGAGTCGCACAGAGTTGGTTGTTGTTCGTGAAGGGTCTTTGACAGCCACTCACTTTATGGATGAAATTTTGAAATGAAATTTTCGATGTAATCAGCGACAATCCTATTCTAATGCACGTCCATATGTCCCTCACATAGTATAAACATGCCTTCAACAGCATAATTTAAAATTTTGGTCATGATTGCACGTTCTACTGAGGTTACAAAAAAATACCTACAACTTTCACAAAAACTTCTTCATTTAATATGCGTTACGTTGATTTTTCAACTCTACTAGAACGTTATTTAAAAACCTGGATATATCAACATAAAGCATATTAGATGAAGAAGTTTTTGTGAAAGTTGTAGGTATTTTTTTGTAACCTCAGTAGAACGTGCAATCATGACCAAAATTTTAAATTTTGTAATTTTGACATGTTCCAACTGATATTGGCTAACATTTTATGTCATTCAGATTATTGCAAATAGAAATATCTTATAGCAAATTTAGCGTTCTTTCAAATGGTGTAATTGGATTTGTTATAGTCTCAACATTTTGGAAGTTGTAAGCATTTTTATGTGGTAAAGTAGTGAAAAGTTGAAAAAACCTAAATTGACGAATATGTGTGGTGATTAGTGACCGTTAATCGATAATTATTCAGAAATCGTGAGATGCGGTCTGGTGTGATGTAGGTTTCAGAAAAACATTTTCTTTATCGTGCCAACGTTTCGATCTAATCTATCCCAGGCCCTGAAGATGAAGAAACGTTGGCACGATAAAGAAAATGTTTTTCTGAAACCTACGTCACACCAGACTGCATCTCACGATTTCCGCATAATTTATATCAATAACATTAAGATAAATTATATTATCCTTGTAAGTTTGGTTTAGTATAGCAGACATGATCTAACACTCATCCATTCTACATTACGATTGACCAACAATGAAGGGAAGAATCTAGAAAGATTGAAGAAGGACCGTAGTAGTATTTTACCTTAGTTAATTATTACTTAAGCAAGCAAGCATTACTTTTATATATAATTATAATATTTATATCAATAACATCAAGATTGATAATTATCATATTATCCTTATGGGGGTACGAACGGGTACTATGTGCCTCCAACAGCCTCTAATACCCAACTCCGACTTTCCACCTTCACGAAGCTTATGCGGGTGTACCCTGTTAACTAACAAACAGAAAGAGGGGTATGGAGGGACAGGAGCTGGACCTGACACCTCCTAATCCTAAACCCAACACCTTACCCCTCCTCCCACCCTACACCCTATCCTAGTCCCACTTTCCAGCCCAAATCCAAGGTGTTATGCGATCTGTGCCGATGGATGAATGGCACAGGGATAACTGTGCCAATAACGGAGCCTCGAGGGCACCAGGCGACACCCTTGAGTAAATAACCTTACACCGGAGAGAGGGCTCCTCCGGTGCGGACCTTTAGATCCCTCTCACTCGTGGGAACTACATGGAAAAACCTACAGTACAAAACAAAACACCGGGGGAACCTGCAAAGGAAGACACCAAAAACCAACTCATGGAAATTGAAGGGGGCTCCGAACCCTCTCCAATTCCCATAAACGAAGAGCTAGAAGACAATCTTCTTGCGTCGCCTTCTGCAGATTTAGGAAAAAAACAAAATACGAAACCACTCCAATGGAGGTGACGGAGAAGATTGAGGAATTACGTCTACAACCCCAAAGAATATCTGGGGCACAAAGACGCAAAATGGCCATACACAGGGCCAAACAACGGGGGGAGCCTATCCTAAAAAGAACCAAGAAAGGAAGACAAAACCCCAATGTAAAACCCCGGACTCTGACACCAAGGCAAACCACGGGAAGTGTTGACCCCAAAAAACCGGGACCAACACCAACCAAAAGTGGCAAAAGGGGCAGGTCATTGGGTAGCACCCCATCATCAAGTGGAAGTGCTCCTAGGACATGCCCCAAAAAGAGCAAAACTGGGGGAGGCGGTGTGGAGCGGGTCATCCACCCCAACATGGGGGGGGAGGGCTCTGGTACATACCAGCAAGCCCTCAAGGTGCTTAAAATGGCCGTGGTGTTGGAAGAATACCCGGAAAAGGAATTAACAACCGATCAGGGCAGAACCGTTCAGCGGGCCATCCTGGCTGAGGTCTGGAAGAGCAAAAACTCCCAGGGACCTCAGTTCAGGAATGGATATGTTGAGAAGGGGGCAGTCCTGATAACTTGTGAAAATCAAAGTGCCAAGGAATGGCTCATGGCAACGGTGCCTACCATCCACCCATGGGAAGGGGCAAACCTTAGGGAAGGCCCTATAGAGAAATCGTTAAAACCACTAGGGTGGCCATGGGGGTGCCGGACCCTGACCTTCTGGGCACTACGGATGCTACCACCATTCTCGGGCTGATGGAGTCCCAAAACCCAGGTATTAATACCGGGAAATGGAGAATCATCAGCCAGAAGATAGAAGACAAAGGAAAAAGTCTAATCCTGGTGGTTGACATAGAAGATGTATCCTTTGGGAATCTGAACAAAGCCAACCTAAAACTATACCTTGGCTTTGCGATGATAAACCTAAGGGTCATCAGAAAAGCAACCAACACTGATGCTTCAAGCAAACCTCTAGCACAGTAAGGCTGCAACACTTACGCTTTGTCGTGGTTAAGGAGAAAAATTTCGACATAGCCCTTATCCAAGAACCCTGGCTAGTAAAAGGCAGAGTAGCCAGGCTGGGAGATAGGGGAAAAAGAGTAATATATGACCACACGCAACAAAACGTAAGAACATGCATTTTAATTAAAAACGAACTACAATGCCTAATCACTTATGAGCTCTGTTCCAGGGACCAAACAGCAATTAGGCTAAACTACATGAAGGAAGGAGTTAAGATGGACGTGATGATGGCCTCAANGCATTAGAAACCTTGCTAAATCTACTTCCACTAGAAATATTCATACAAGGAGAGGCTAGGAAAAGCTCATTTAGGCTCCAAAAACAATTAAATTGGAAAGGAACCAAACAATTCGGGCATACAACCATAATCAATAAAATCAGACACCCATTATTAGAAGTGGGGACTGTCTACATGATTCCGGAAACAATCTTCCCAACTTCCTATAAAGTCTCAACAGACTATAAAGGAGAGGAAGAACACAGGAAAGCACCAGATACAATGATATGGTATACAGATGGCTCCAAAACAAACAAAGGAACCGGATCAGGCGTTTTCTGTACAAGCCCAAAACATGAGCAATCAAACTCATTAGGGAAGTTGGTCTTTCAAGCAGAAATACATGCCATCAACGCTTGTGTCCTGGAAAATCTTAAAAGAGCTTACACTGACAAAAAATCCTCATAAGATCAGACAGCCAAGCAGCTATTAAAGAGTTGGCATGTAAAAGAATTACATCAAAACTAGTCACTGAATGTATCCAAAATCTCCAAAACTTGGGAAAACACAACAACCTGATGATATCTTGGGTGCCAGGGCACAGGGGAATTCTGGGTAACGAAGAGGCGGACATACTGGCCAGAAGTGGATCTGCAAGACCATACATAGGCCCCGAACCTATCCTTGGGATAACAAGAACAAACATAGAATCCTCCATCGCAGAATGGATCCAAACAAAACAAAAAGAGAAGTGGATAAACTCTAGCGGTGCTAGACATAGTAAACTTATGATGAAACAACCCTCACCAAAATTGGCAAAAACACTGAAACAATTAGAGAGGGCAAAACTCAGAGGAGTGGTGGGACTACTAACCGGTCACTAGTATCTGAGAAAACATCTACACAACATGGGTATATACAATGATGATCCCATTTGCAGATTATGCAATGAAGAGGAGGAAACAGACACTCATATCATCTTCGAATGCGAAGCAACAGCTCAATGGAGGTTTAACCTAACGTACGAAAAAGACTCAGGGAACCAAATTGCAGCAATAACAGTCAATGACCTGATACTTCTGAGAAGAAGGATTGAGTCTATTGACTAAACTAGGGTACTGGGAAGGTAGAATAAGCCAGAAGGCTGCAATGCCTGGGGAATATGAGCCCCGCTTCCCAGTATCCTTTCCACCATACCATACCATACCATTATCCTTATGAGTTTGGCTTAGTAGAGCGGATGTGATCTATCACTCATCCATCATACATTATGAGTTTAATTTTTTGTAATGGTTTATGTAATTTACAAAATCAAATAATTGTTTAAATTGTCCAGCAACTTACATCGGTATTACATCCCAATATCTATTGCACAAACAATACATCGACAAAAAAAAAAAAAAATCCTACTGCACTGGCTACTCACCATTTTGAACACCAAGACAATTTCTACTTCTACAATCCAAAAATATTACACACAGAACAAAACAAACACAAACGTAACTTTTTAGAAATGGTTTACATCATCAGAGATCAACACAGCATCAATTACAAAACAGACACATGTAAACTCAGTCGCAGCTACGCCAATATCATTAATTAAATTCAATATCGATAACATACATATAACATATAAAACAATCATTACATTCCACACATCGAACATTTCTACATAGTCTAATTCTTCAACAATTTGGCTTTCCTTTCCCTAATTATCCCCGTCTACATAATCCTGAAAGATAATCAGGCCGAACCATTACCCAATTGTCCCATTGTCGGCTTCTTTCACCTCAAAGAAGCCGACTCCTCATATAAAAATGTCTTCTTATCCCGACTTCCTTCCCCACCCCTTCAAAATTCAACGTATATAGACATAAAACATCAATAACTCACTTGGCACTCTCAACACGACACACAAGAATGGACACATCTACACAGAAAACAAACGCATTGAGCGAGTACGAATACTTTGATTGAATGTAAAATTTCTAGCATTGTATAAATTCATTTTTTCACATCTTACATGTATTTGTAAAATTTAAACATTGTTTATAAATCCCAGGCCCTGAAGATGATCTCAGTAAGTATTGAGTAAGGTTAACGGTCAATTATTAAGTGTTAGTGATAAAAAGATTAAAACCCCTTCGGGGAAAAAGCACTTTCAGGTAGTCACCCCTTGTGATTATAATTATAGTCTGGATGATGACCATCGTAACATAGACTGCTACACAGATGGATCACTTATCAAAGGAAGAGGGAGTGATGTAGGAATCTACATACCAAAATTAGGAATAAGTATCTCCTCCCCTCTTGGCAATAACACCTCCGTTTTTCAGGCGGAAATCTGGGCCATCAATGTGTGTTGTAGAACACTTATGGAAAATAAAATTAAGGGAAAAGATATTAAAATCTTTTCTGACAGTCAGGCTAGTCTTAGGGCATTACAAAAAGATTTGTCAACCTCACGACTGGTGGAGGAAACTATAGATCTTATCAATAGGATCTCTTTCAGGTTTGAGAATAAGGTGACCCTTATTTGGATACCAGCACATAAAGGACACCATGGCAATGAAAAGGCGGATGGCCTAGCCAAAGAAGGTTCTAATACTGCGTTTGTCGGGCCACAACCGGTATTACCTCACTCTATGAGCACAGCGAAAGAGAGTATCAATAACTGGGGCATGAAACAATTCCTTAGGGAGTGGAATTTATCCCCCGGACACAGGCAATCGAAAGAGTTTGTTAAGGCGATCAAACCAGCAGAATCGAAATGGCTATTCTCTATCTCAAGGAAGGGAATTAGGAGGCTGATAGGTATTCTGACGGACCACTGCCCACTGAGAAGACACCTCTTCGTAATGGGTATCCTACCAGATCCCTTTTGCCGCTTCTTCGAAATAAAAGAAGAAACGACAAGGCACTACCTCGCAAAGTGTGATAGGTATGCTAGGTCTAATTTGAAATCTTTGAAGGAGAGGACATCACCAAATCACTCCCTGAGATAAAATGGTCCAAAATCTTGGGGTTTGTGAACAAGTCCAACAGGTTTATGCAGGGCACGTGAGCCGACCAAGTCCCGGACCTTTTAGGGATGGGGTACGAGTCTACCCAGGCATTTAACCCCTCAGGTCTTGGTCACCCACCCTGCATAATATATATATGATCTCTATAAGGATCGAAACGTTGGCATGACAAAGAAAATGTTTTTCTAAAACTTACATCACACCAGATTGCATAATGATCTCCAAATAATCATTATGAATTTAGCTTAGTAGAGCGGACAAGATCTATAACTCATCTAATCTACATTACGATTGTCCAACAATGAAGGGAAGAATCTAGAAAGCTTGAAGAAGGAACTTAATGTTTTTCTTTCAAATTCGCCTTATCCCTTATCTTTTATATATAATTATGATATTTATATCAACAAAATCAAGATGGCTTGGATTATCCTTTAGCAATCGGAAAAGTCGTGTAGGATCAGGCAAAATTTATATAAGCTCGTCAATTCAGTTCATATAATTATTTAAATAATAAAGCAACCCGGTGAAATTGGAAGTACATATCTGTCAAGTAAGTCATTGTAAAAGATTAAAAACTCATATTTCTATTAATTCAATGGGCTTGTTTTTTTTGTTTTTTTAATGAATTTAACACGAACCTTTTGTATTTATTTTTGTTGTTATATATTTTTTTAAACTAAGCCCTTTTCGTTTAATAAACAGATTGAAAATATTCAAGCATCGCAAGTTGTATTGTAATAAAAATTAAATAAAAAAAAGACCAAAGCGCCGACTGACCCTCAAACTGTCATTCATGTTCCAATTGAAAAAAATAAAATATTTAAATTATTCAAATAATAATTACTCGGCATTTCCGGTGGTGTGTCTTTTTTGACATATTTTCCGACGACCCCTTCTTTGACACTCCTCGAATCCTTGCTCTTTCTCGATAACATATTTTGAACTGTGGACCCAAAGCGCCGTCACTTCAGCCAGGGTAACCGCGACTCGGAAGGCCGTTTCGTCAACATTCCTTTCCATCTCAAACACTTATCTTCTCTCCCCCCACAGCAGTTAAAAACGTCATAAAAGTCATAATTTTATTCAAGGAGAACTGTCCTAAAATAAATTATGTAAAAGTCATTAAAAAGATGGCCTAATTGGTGATAAATTCCCCCTGAGACGGAAAAGAAGTCTAATATTGTGTGGATATGTGTACATAAAAAGCTGAAACGTTCTTTGATGTTCCTCATTTCGTTGCATATTTCAAATGAATTTCAGCATTTACTTGACATTTAATATGTACTTTCCATATCTAACTTACCCTACAGTGTTTATTCATTCTATAAATATTGTTTAAAGGAAAAAGATCATAGTACCATTCAAAAGCTTATGATCTGTAATATAATTGCTATGTAGAAAAATTTTATCCTCACCCCACTTCACTTACACCGCTCAATTTACAAATTGAAGCCTGAATAATTTAAACACTAGTAATTACACTGCTGAAACTTGTTTCATTAATCTTTTCAAACTCATTGCATATTTCACCGCAATATCAACATTTACTTGAGAGGTAATTTTCTATATCTAACATATCCTTCAGTGTTAATTCATTAAATAATTATTGTTCAAAGGAATGACATGATAGTCCCGTTCGGAACATTCTGATGTGTACTATAATTGTAATGTAGGAAATTTCATCCTAACCTCTCTTCACTTATACAATTCAATATTTATTTCAGAGCAAGAATATTCATTTACTATTCTATAAATATTAGTAATTACAGAGTTTAAACTTGTTTCATTAATCTTTTCAAACGCATTGCATATTTCACCGCAATATCAACATTTACTTGGAAGGTAATGTGTATTTGCTATATCTAACATATCATACAGTGTTAATTCATTAAATATTTATTGTTCAAAATCAGAAACTATCTAGAAGATCTAACACCAGGCGAAGCCACTGACTACTCGCTGTGGAAGGCCATAAAAAAATTAAAAGACCAATTGCCCAAATTCCTACATTAAAAAAAGTGGCTGGTACTTGGGTGAGAGACAGCAGAGAAAAAGCCGAATTGTTTGCTGGTTACCTTGATGAAATCTTCAGACCAAATGAAATCATCAATGGCAGCTTTCTTGAAGTAACAACCACACCACAAGAAGAAAATATAAAGCTAATTTCACCTAAAGAAGTAGCACAAGAAATTAAAAATTTACCCGCTAAAAAGACTCCACCTTATCACTGGAGAAATACTAAAACAATTGCCAAAAAAGGGTATAGTTAAACTAACATACCTATTTAATGCTGCAATCAGACTGAAATACGTTCCCAGCATCTGGAAATTCGCAGAAGTAATTATGACCAATATCGCTACTACCAACAGTGTCTAAACTCTTTGAAAAGTTATTATTAAAACGAATAAAACACATTAGATAAAATACACACAGTAGATAAAAAGAAAATCATTCCTGACCACCAATTTGGATTCCGAACAAGACATTCAACAATAGACCAAATTCACCGAGTAATGGACGTAATAGAAAAATCTCTCGAAGAAAAACAAATTTGTTCTGCTATCTTCCTTGATGTCTCATAAGCTTTTGACAAGGTCTGGCACGAAGGACTCATCAATAAAGGTATGCTACCAAAGCAGTATGTCGATATTATCAGTTCCTACCTAACTGACAGACTGTTTAGAGTCAAACAAGAAGATCAATATTCAAAATTAAAAACAATAAATGCAGGAGTGCCACAAGGTAGCATATTAGGTCCACTGCTTTACTTGTTATACACCAGTGATTTTCCGAAAATAGATGGAGTAAAAATTGCAACGTTTGCAGATGACACAGCGGTGATATCACTAGGATCGACTATCACCCATTCAACCAAAATCCTCCAAAATTCATGTAATAAGATAAACGAATGGACAAAAAAATGGAAAATCAAGCTAAATAAGCATAAATCAGTTCATCTAATCTTTACAAACAGAAAGGTGGACCATGTTCCGTCGCTCACAATCGATGGAACTACTATACCATACAGCAATACAGCTAAATATCTGGGAATGACCTTAGATGCCAAGCTGAGATGGAAAGAACGCGTGAAGAAAAAAAGGATAGAAATGGGTTTAGGGTATAGATAACTATACTAGTTGATAGGACGTAGCTCCAATCTTGCTATACAAAATAAAATATTATTATATAAACAAGTCATAAAGCCTATGTGGACATATGGTATCCAACTATGGGGTTGTACCAAACACAGCAATATCAAAATCATACAAACACTCCAAAATAAAATTTTATGTAGCATGGTCAATGCAACTTGGTACATAAGGAATAAGGACTTACATAGGGATCTTAAGATCCCTGAAGTCACGGCGGAAATACGAAGATTTGCCGCCAAACACCAGGCTCGCCTCAGCCAGCATGAGAATGTGGAAGCGACCAAACTCTTACATAACCGAAACATGGTCAGAAGATTAAAAAAGAACAAAGCCATATGAACTTGTGTAGATAAAAATTAATTAACAGTCACTAATCACCACACATTAAAAATTAATAGTGAATAGTGAAATGTAAATCTTATTGTACCAGTGGGTTTATAAGAATGTAAACATTTATTTATTCTATAATATTATTGTAAAATTAAGGGTTGGTATAATGTCTACGTTTTAATAAATAAATTTAATTAATAAAAAAAAATTATTGTTCATAGGAAAAACAATATAGTCCCATTCGGAACATTCTGATCTGTACTACAAATATAATGTAGGTAATTTCATCCTAACCTCACAACAGTGAGCTTTCAATATTTAAATCAGAGCCAGAATATTGATTTACTCTTCCATACATACTACTAATTACATAGCTGAAACTTGTTTCGTTAATGTTTTCTAACTCATTGCATATTTCACCACAATAGCAACATTTACTTGAGAGGTAATGTGTATTTTCTATATCTAACATATCCTACAGTGTTAATTCATTAAATAATTATTGTTCATAGGAAAAACAATATAGTTCCATTCGGAACATTCTGATCTGTATTATGATTTTTTTAAATAGTAAATTTCATCCTAACCTCACTTCAGTTACAGCGTTTAATATTTAAATCGCAGCCAGAAAGTGACACAAATTTTTAATTTCGAAAAATTGCGTATAATTTGTTGCTTTTTCTCTTTATGTCATAAATGTTAAAGTGACATTATTTATCTTTTCTTAACTAAATATTACCAATTTAACTATAAATCAAAATACTTTCTTTACCAACCTTTCAGATTCACCAATTTCATCACCATTCAAAAAGATATGCAGAAAGGATGAAGAAAGATCAACATTTTTTCCAAAATATGTATTAAATAAAATTTACTATTATACAATTTGTGTTCATTGTTATCTTATTGTAGAAGACCTCTTCAATGTTGAATTCCTTGTAGAATTAGAAACCTGTAAATTAAATAGATTATGATTTTGTTTTAATTTGAAACTCTGAAATAGGGCTGAATTCATAAACACAGTTTTAATATTTTTCTTTTCTGTCTTCGACCTAATGTAATGTCTCTTCTAATTTGCTGCATTATTTGTAAGTAATACTGTAGAGCATGTTTGTTTTGAAGCTCCCAATGAAAAATACTTAACTGTTAATACATTTTAGTTGTTCATTCTATATGTTTCTGCACTAGCAAATATAATTTAATTCTGAAAAATCGAAGTACAGACAAACTTACAATAGGGCTTTTTTTTTTCAAAAACACCAGCACCCCGAGTGTTGATAAGACCTCGTCAAAACAAGAAAAAAACAGTATATGCATATATGTTGAGATTATTGCTTCCATGTTAAGACTTATAAAAATTAAGTAATTTTATTTATAACACAAAATGAACTAATAAAGGGTTTAGAATTAGACGTCGTAAACTTATCAACCTTTTGATATCTTCCTTCGACCAAATACATATTTGTAATTGTTCTTCCAAACTTGAGCTTTTTTCAGGGGTGGGGATTTTCAACCATGTAGTCATACCAGTCCCCAGGGTCCGAATAGTATGATGAGTTAAAATTTGTGGCCATATAAATTCGAACCAGGGATATTCCATTGATAAGTCACCATGTCAAGCCCTCACCATTCTTAAGGTTAATATTTTTTGGTTTAGCTTCATTAATATTTTGTATACTCATTAATCACTTCAGAGGGGAGCGCGCGACCAGTCGTGTGTTTGATTCTTATGATCGCCCCTTAAAATTTCTGAACTTTCCTCCCTTCTTAAAAATATACGTACAATATGATTCAATCGTCTTTAACTAATATGCACAACATAATGCCATTAAAAAATCACATCACTGACCCTTTCCTCTTCTTTAATTAATAAAATTAATATTAAATAATTCATGTGGTTAAACTAAGGTTTCCACGAGACGTTGCTGCTGTTTTGACAATGGTTCTGCCTTACAAGCAGCAGTTAATGAGCTTGCCGCACCCCTATATTATGAGGAGGGGTTCAACCTGCATAGAGCAGGCTTGTAAAGCAGGTATCATCACTACAAGCAGCAAGTGTACTCTCAGCAGCAGACATGGCTGATAGCTGCTCAATGCCCAGCTCTATCGACAGTCATCATACAGCTCATACATATGACACAGACTCACAGCATCGCATAACACTGCACAAAGCCAACGTGGCTAGCAGCCATCGGCTGCTCAGCAGTCTACAACGCTCAATAGTTTCAATTCAACAACCAACTCTTTTCATTAAATTCAATTCAATTGTAAAAGTAAAAAAGTAATATTAAATTACAATTAATTAAGGTTTTTGGTTGAGATGAAAAAAAGTTAATGGCACGAGCGGGATTTGAACCCACGATCTTCGGCTAGATACGCCGCTGCTCTACTACTTGAGCTATCGTGACCTCGATCCACTTGGACACCAACCTCCCATCTCAACCGCACCTTATGAGTTTTACCTCCTTTTTGCCATTTTTCAAATGTCGTGTAATCGGATTGGATTCTTGAC